TTTTTTTGCTACGGCTTATTTTTCTCCATATAATATTTTTTAAAGTCAATTTATTCATTTTAAAAAATTTTTAAATATAATTTTAAATTATTTATTACAATGCAAAAATTTCTCTAAAATCTTAAATTGAGAAATATTCTTATTTTAAGAATATATGAGAATAAGATTTGTATATATATATAAATATATATATATATATGTGTGTTCATCAAATCCTCTCAATACTAAACGAACACTTTGGATCCAAGAGAAAGTTAAATTTTATTATTTTCGTTTTTAATTGAATTAAAAATTTTATGTCTTAAAATAAAATACTCTTGTTTTGAGAGGACAATAAAGTTATATCAATTTTTCCTCTTAAGATAAGAGTATTTTTTAAAGGACAACTCTTGATTTAAGAAAAATGTTTTAAATTATACGATTCTTCTTTTCAATAAAATAATAAATGTTATTTTTTAAAATGCAGAATACTCTTGTTTTGAGAGGACAACATATGTTATACGAATTTTCCTCTTAAAATTAGGATATTTTCTAAACTAAATCTCTTGATCTAAGTGAAAAAGCATCAAAATTCTACAATTTTTCTTTTCAATATAATTAAAAATTTTATCTTTTAAAGTCGAATACTCTTACTTTGAGAGGATGTCATACAAAATTTCCTCATAAAATAAAAGTATTTTCTAAAAAGCAACTCTCGATTCAAGGAAAAAGCGTCGTCAAAATTCGACAATTTTTCTATTCAATAAAATTATAAATATTATGTTTTTGAAATGGAATACTCTTGTTTTGAGAGGACAATATACTTTATACGAATTTTCCTCTTAAAATAAAGAGTAATTTCCAAATAAATAGAATTAAAAATCTTGTTTTAAAATTAAATACCCTTATTGTTTTAAGAGAATATAATATATAAATTTTCCTCTCAAAATAAGATTATTGCGTCTAATGTACATTTGTTAAAAAATTAAGTTTCTGTTTTTCAATTTATTGTATTTTATGCTGTATATTGTATAAATGTTTATAAAAAAAATTTAATAACATTGTTTGAGGGGCATTAAAAAAAAAATAAAAATAAAAAAGCAAGAATGAAATTTACAGTGTCATCAGAGGGACATAGAATCTGTTAAATAAAGACGGTCGACGGCCTGTCGCGTCTGGTTTTGTTGCACATGTATGGAAGGGATTAATCAGTGTATGATGAGATTCCTGTTTACGTGTGTGAGTCCTACAAGGAAACCCTTCTATGCGGTCGGCGCCATGGCGCCTGGAACTTCTCTATACACTGCGCGGGCATTTATAATCAAGTATAGAGAAATTGTGGTCCATTCAACTTACATATATATGTATATATATATATATATATATACATGTATCGATCAGAGAAGAGCCACTCTACCATCAAAATATACTTAAAATTACTAATGATAAGTTAAACGATTAAAAAAAAAAAAAAAAACTATATTTTCGTCAATACCATCGCCACGCTATCAAATCGATCCTTTCAAAATAAGAATATTTTCCCCACTTTAAAATAAAATATTATACATTATTTTTCGTTTTAATGATAGCTTAGTTTATGTTTTCCTCTTTAACTAAGAGGAAATTTTCATTTAAAACCTTGTTTTTTTTTAGTGTAGAAAATATTCTAATTATTAGAGGAATAATAGAGAAAATAGTCATAAACAAAGACGACGGGTAAATTTATTCATATTTTAATAAAATCTCCTTTTTCTAATTGAGAGGAAAAATTTCTCCTTCGTTTTTTAGGAGAAAAATATTTAATTTAATCATATATATATATATATATATATATATATATATATATATATATATATATATATATATATATATATATGTCAGTAAAAAAAAAAGAAGAAGAGATCATCAACAAGGTGTTTAAAGAGATTAAGATAACGATAACGCGAGAATGATTAAAAATTCTATTTTCTTGAAAGAGAAAAAAAAAGAGAAAGAGAAATGAGACAAAAATGGGTCTTTATGCGGAACAAGCAAAAACGTGAGTCTAGTTCATCAGACGAGATATCTGAGAGATTCCTAAGAATTTCTTGGAAAAAAATTAAGAATTTCCGGAAAGTCCAAAAAAGAGACTGGCGCCAGAATATCCTCCAATCTGTTCACTATTGGCGCCTAATAGGATCGTTTTTTATATATATATATATTGCTACTTTCAACATATTCCATATACGCACCATATTCAATTAAAAGAAAAATTTCTTTCACCTAAACCATAATAATAAATTTTAAATACTTTCATAAAGATTTTTTAATGAATGAAAAAAAATCCACTGTTAACAAATTTCGAATATATTATCAATTCAAATATTTACTACATAATTATGTAAATTTGTAAACAGATTTTAACAATGAAAACAAATTATGTGATATTTGTGGAGGAAATAATATATATTTTATTTCTCCTCATCAAATTCGCATTATTTTTTTTTTCATCTAATTTTTAGATAATATTTATATATTCTTTGATAATTTTCTATTTTTTTTTTATTTTACCGTTTGTCCATGCGTTTTACTCTTACAGTAAATTTAGTAATAATTTAGTAATAATAATAATTTTTTTTTTTAATAAAAAATTACTAAAAATTAGCAGAAATTTTTACTAATTTTTAGAAAAATAATTTTTTTAGTAAAAATATGTTACGATTGGATTTACTAATATTTCTTTACTAAAGTTTTAGTAAAAAAAAAAAATGTCTAAAAATTAGTAAAAACTTTTATTAGTTTTTTAAAAAATTTAGTAATTTAATTTTATTAAATTATTATTAATTTACTAATATTTATTTTTACTAAAGTTTTAGTGAAAAAAAGCTAAAAATTAGTAGAATTTTTTTTTACTAATTTTAACTAAAATATTATTTAACTTATAGTAATAATTATTTTGACTACACTGAAAAAAAAAATTTATTTGATTCAAATACCGGTGTATTTGGTTATTATCAAATAAATATTTACTTGAATCAAATATTTCTTATTTGAATCAAATAAATGGTATTTGCTTCAAATACTGAAATATTTGATTCAAATATTATATATATTTGATTCAAATAAGAAATATTTGATTCAAGTAAATATTTATTTAATAATAACCAAATACACCGGTATTTGAATCAAATAATTTTTTTTTTCAGTGTAATATTTTAATTAAAAAATAACTAAAAATTAGTAAAATTTTTTTTTACTAATTTGAAGTAAAATATTATTATTTAATATAGTAACATTGTGTTAGTAAAGTTTTAGTGAAAAAGTGACTAAAAATTAATAGAAATTTATGACTAATTATTAATAAAATTTAGTAATTTAATTTATTATTATTAGCATTAATTTTTATTTAATTAAATTATTAATTATTATAATTATCATTATTATAATTATTTAATTTTAGTATTATTTTATATTTGCCAAAAATTAAGTTAAAAAATGATTAAAAATTAGTAAAAATTTTTCGCTAATTTAAATAAATATTCTCGCCAATTCAAATTTAGAGAGAGAAATATATATATATACATATCTTTACTCTATCAATTAGTAAAGTGCGCTCAAGTTCCTCGAACTCTTTGAAAAGTTGAATTTTCACAAAGAACTTGATTCTGAGAATAACTTGGGAAGATGCAATGGATATAGTTATTCATCCAAAGTGCACTCGAATGCAATTCGATTGGTTGGAATCCTCATGGATCCAGAAGATGGCGAGGGGGCCGGAACAAACTGGTTTCGCGAGGGTAGAACCGCGCGTCCACCATCGAGCATATATATATACAGAATTGTGTGCAAGAGCGTGCGCGCTAGATTCTCTATACATTTCTATATGTGTAAATCAATGTATACACGTGTGAGTGAATAAAAAAAAAATTCTTTGGTCCCGCCTACACTTAGCGTTATTCGTGGCAGCGATGGCCGCTATCACGTCCGAGATTCACGTTCTGCAGAGATGGAGACGCCTTGAACCCTCTCTCTCTCGCAATATATTTTTTTTTTCTTTTTTTTTTATTTATTTTCTTTTTACTCTCTCATCCTCTGTCTTTGTTTGGTATCTTTGAAGGACGAGTCTATCTCTCTTCACTGGAATAATAAATTATACCTTTTACTCTCTCTCTCTCGCTCTCTCGCTTGCTCTTCCTACTTTCAAGTATATACCATTCTGAATCTGGGTCCAGATTGGTCCTCTCCCTTTATAGTTAAACTAACCATCAAATCCAATCAGCGCTCTCACAGCATCCAACCATTAAATATTTCCAAAAAGATTTTTTCACTATTACCCCGGGATTGCTAATATCAAAATCCTAATCATAAACAAAAACTACTTGCAAACTATAATTCAGAATTAGTGTCCGAAATTCGGTATTTTATATACAATATAAATCAAAACTTTTTAATATTCTGAAAAATATATAGCTAGTCTGGCAGATTTTTTAGGTTTCTAAATCCAAATTGTGGGGGTACTATTAAAAAAATGGATTAAAATTGCAAAGCTTTAATCCAATCCTATAAAATAATCTACTCTTCAAAATTAGAATTAGTAATCCAAAATTTTCAACTAATTTTAATTAGTGTCTCAATTTTTGCTTTTTAATTAATAAAATTTAACTATAATTAATAGAAAAAAATATTTACCTGAAACAGTGAAGGGTTTCAGTAAAATAGCGAAAGACTTAACTCAAACAAATAAAACTTTTGCTAATATAGTGAAACGTATCGCTGTTCCGAGTAAATCTTTTTTTCCATGTATCGCGAATAAGTAAAATTTAACTAAATAAAAAAAAAAATTTTACTATCGAATTAGTAAAATGTAACCAATTCAAAAACGAAATTTAATCCCAAAATGTATCAAAAATACTAAGAATGATTTAATTTTCAATTCCAAATTCTAAATTTGAACAAAAAAAAAAAATTTATCTGATTAAATTCTTCAAATTAAATTATTCAGTTTTGTAGTATATATATTTTTCTTTCTGTTTCGCATGTAGAATTATTATCGGGAAGAGGATGTTCCACGGTAGCGGAAGCGGTGGTTACGGCGCAAGTTCCGACTATCAACAACAATCACAACAACAACAACAACAGCAACAGGGACATCAACTTCAGGCCCCAGTTTATGTCCCATCATCGAGACCAGCGATTCCATCTGCAGCAACAGCCGCACAATATCATTCTTTCCCCACTTCCGCATCGCCAGCATGGTAAAATTATTTTCATTATTTCCAAATTAAAAGACTAATATATTTTTTTGGAAAAATTTTCAATTATTTCAAAAATTTAAGAGATAAGACTTCGGGATTATAGACAAAATCTTAATCCGGGAGTTGCAAACAAAAAATATATTTAGGATTGTTGAAAAAATTATTAAAATTTAAATTTACGTAATAATTGTTTAGAAGTATTAATCCTTAGAAAAAAGTATCGAACAAAAAATGTATAACGCACTTTTGATTGGTCCAGCGGAAGCTGAGCTACACTAAAATACATTTTGGAAAAATTAACAAAAAATTAAATTTTCGAGATAATCGTTCGGGAATACCGCCAAAGTCTTTAGCAAAAAGTAGCGAACAAAAAATGTATGGCGAACTTTTTGATTGGTTCAGCGGATGCTGAGCTACACTAGAAAACAAATTTGGAAAAAATTTAGAAAAATTAAATTTGCGTGCTAATCGTTTCGGAATACCACCAATAAAATGAGCAAAAAGTCTCGAACAAAAAATGTACGGCGCACTTTTTGATTGGTCCAGCGGATGCTGATGAGCTACACTCAGATAAATTTTTTAAAAAATTTCGAAAAATTAAATTTGCGAGATAATTGATCGGGAATACCGCCAAAGTCTTAACCCGGGAGTCTCGAACAAAAAATGTATGGAGCACTTTTTGATTGGTCCAGCGGATGCTGAGCTACACTCAGATAAATTTTTTAAAAAAATTTGAAAAATTAAATTTGCTAGATAATTGATCTGGAATACCGCCAAAGTCTTAACCCGGGAGTCTCGAACAAAAAATGTATTGAGCACTTTTTGATTGGTCCAGCGGATGCTGAGCTACACTCAGATAAATTTTTTAAAAAAATTTAGAAAAATTAAATTTGCGTGATAATCGATCCGGAATACCAACAATAAAATGAGCAAAAAGTCTCGAACGAAAAATGTACGGCGCACTTTTTGATTGGTCCAGCGGATGCTGAGCTACACTCACTAAAACTGGGAAAAAAATTCAAAAAAAAAAAATTTGCCAGATAATGACTCGGGAATAATGCCAAAAAATTGAGCAAAAAGTCTCGAACAAAAAATGTATGGCGCACTTTTTGATTGGTCCAGCGGATGCTGAGCTACACTCAGATAAATTTTTTAAAAAATTTCGAAAAATTAAATTTGCGAGATAATTGATCGGGAATACCGCCAAAGTCTTAACCCGGGAGTCTCGAACAAAAAATGTATGGAGCACTTTTTGATTGGTCCAGCGGATGCTGAGCTACACTCAGATAAATTTTTTAAAAAAATTTGAAAAATTAAATTTGCTAGATAATTGATCTGGAATACCGCCAAAGTCTTAACCCGGGAGTCTCGAACAAAAAATGTATTCAGCACTTTTTGATTGGTCCAGCGGATGCTGAGCTACACTCAGATAAATTTTTTAAAAAAATTTAGAAAAATTAAATTTGCGTGATAATCGATCCGGAATACCAACAATAAAATGAGCAAAAAGTCTCGAACAAAAAATGTACGGCGCACTTTTTGATTGGTCCAGCGGATGCTGAGCTACACTCACTAAAACTGGGAAAAAAATTCAAAAAAAAAAAATTTGCCAGATAATGACTCGGGAATAATGCCAAAAAATTGAGCAAAAAGTCTCGAACAAAAAATGTATGGCGCACTTTTTGATTGGTCCAGCGGATGCTGAGCTACACTCAGATAAATTTTTTAAAAAATTTCGAAAAATTAAATTTGCGAGATAATTGATCGGGAATACCGCCAAAGTCTTAACCCGGGAGTCTCGAACAAAAAATGTATGGAGCACTTTTTGATTGGTCCAGCGGATGCTGAGCTACACTCAGATAAATTTTTTAAAAAAATTTGAAAAATTAAATTTGCTAGATAATTGATCTGGAATACCGCCAAAGTCTTAACCCGGGAGTCTCGAACAAAAAATGTATTCAGCACTTTTTGATTGGTCCAGCGGATGCTGAGCTACACTCAGATAAATTTTTTAAAAAAATTTGAAAAATTAAATTTGCGAGATAATTGATCGGGAATACCACCAACGTCTTAACCCGGGAGTCTCGAACAAAAAATGTATGGCGCACTTTTTGATTGGTCCAGCGGATGCTGAGCTGCACTCAGATAAATTTTTTAAAAAAATTTGAAAAATTAAATTTGCTAGATAATTGATCTGGAATACCGCCAAAGTCTTAACCGGGGAGTTTCGACCAAAAAATGTATGGCGCACTTTTTGATTGGTCCAGCGGATGCTGAGCTACACTCAGATAAATTTTTTAAAAAAATTTGAAAAATTAAATTTGCTAGATAATTGATCTGGAATACCGCCAAAGTCTTAACCCGGGAGTCTCGAACAAAAAATGTATTGAGCACTTTTTGATTGGTCCAGCGGATGCTGAGCTACACTCAGATAAATTTTTTAAAAAAATTTGAAAAATTAAATTTGCGAGATAATTGATCGGGAATACCACCAACGTCTTAACCCGGGAGTCTCGAACAAAAAATGTATGGCGCACTTTTTGATTGGTCCAGCGGATGCTGAGCTGCACTCAGATAAATTTTTTAAAAAAATTTGAAAAATTAAATTTGCGAGATAATTGATCGGGAATACCACCAACGTCTTAACCCGGGAGTCTCGAACAAAAAATGTATGGCGCACTTTTTGATTGGTCCAGCGGATGCTGAGCTGCACTCAGATAAATTTTTTAAAAAAATTTGAAAAATTAAATTTGCTAGATAATTGATCTGGAATACCGCCAAAGTCTTAACCGGGGAGTTTCGACCAAAAAATGTATGGCGCACTTTTTGATTGGTCCAGCGGATGCTGAGCTACACTCAGATAAATTTTTTAAAAAAATTTGAAAAATTAAATTTGCGAGATAATTGATCGGGAATACCACCAACGTCTTAACCCGGGAGTCTCGAACAAAAAATGTATGGCGCACTTTTTGATTGGTCCAGCGGATGCTGAGCTGCACTCAGATAAATTTTTTAAAAAAATTTGAAAAATTAAATTTGCGAGATAATTGATCGGGAATACCACCAACGTCTTAACCCGGGAGTCTCGACCAAAAAATGTATGGCGCACTTTTTGATTGGTCCAGCGGATGCTGAGCTACACTCAGATAAATTTTTTAAAAAAATTTGAAAAATTAAATTTGCTAGTTAACTGATCTGGAGTACCGCCAAAGTCTTAACCGGGGAGTTTCGAACAAAAAATGTATTGCCCACTTTTTGATTGGTCCAGCGGATGCTGAGCTACACTTAGATAAATTTTTAAAAAATTTCGAAAAATTAAATTTGCGAGCTAATTGATCGGGAATACCACCAACGTCTTAACCCGGGAGTCTCGAACAAAAAATGTATGGCGCATTTTTTGATTGGTCCAGCGGATGCTGAGCTACAGTAAAAAACATTGGGAAAAATTTTCGAAAAATTTAATTCGCGAGATAATTATTCGGGAATACCGCCAATGTAGTTAGAAGAAAGTTCTAAACAAAAAAATGTATGGCGCACTTTTTGATTGGTCCAGCGGATGCTGAGCTACACAAAAAACGTTTTGGAAAAATTAACAAAAAATTAAATTTTCGAGATAATTGTTCGGGAATACCGCCAAAGTCTTTAGCAAAAAGTAGCGAACAAAAAATGTATGGCGCACTTTTTGATTGGTCCAGCGGATGCTGAGCTACACTCACTAAAACTGGGAAAAAAACTCAAAAAAAAAAAATTTGCCAGATAATGACTCGGGAATAATGCCAAAAAATTAAGCAAAAAGTCTCGAACAAAAAATGTATAGCGCACTTTTTGATTGGTCCAGCGGATGCTGAGCTACACTCACTAAAACTGGGAAAAAAATTCAAAAAAAAAAAAATTTGCCAGATAATGACTCGGGAATAACGCCAAAAAATTAAGCAAAAAGTCTCGAACAAAAAATGTATAGCGCACTTTTTGATTGGTCCAGCGGATGCTGAGCTACACTCACTAAAACTGGGAAAAAAATTTCGAAAAAAAAAATTTGCGAGATAATTGATCGGGAATACCGCCAATGTAGTTAGAAGAAAGTTCTGAACAAAAAATGTATGGCGCACTTTTTGATTGGTCTAGCGGATGCTGAGCTACACTATAAAACAAATTTGGAAAAAATTTAGAAAAATTAAATTTGCGTGATAATCGTTCCGGAATACCACCAATAAAATGAGCAAAAAGTCTCGAACAAAAAATGTATGGCGCACTTTTTGATTGGTCCAGCGGATGCTGAGCTACACTCACTAAAACTGGGAAAAAAATTCAAAAAAAAAAAATTTGCCAGATAATGACTCGGGAATAACGCCAAAAAATTAAGCAAAAAGTCTCGAACAAAAAATGTATAGCGCACTTTTTGATTGGTCCAGCGGATGCTGAGCTACACTCACTAAAACTGGGAAAAAAATTTCGAAAAAAAAAATTTGCGAGATAATTGATCGGGAATACCGCCAATGTAGTTAGAAGAAAGTTCTGAACAAAAAATGTATGGCGCACTTTTTGATTGGTCCAGCGGATGCTGAGCTACACTAGAAAACAAATTTGGAAAAAATTTAGAAAAATTAAATTTGCGTGATAATCGTTCCGGAATACCACTAATAAAATGAGCAAAAAGTCTCGAACAAAAAATGTATGGCGCACGTTTTGATTGGTCCATCGGATGCTGAGCTACACTCAAATACATTTTTGAAAAAAATTTGAAAAATTAAATTTGCTAGATAATTGATCTGGAATACCGCCAAAGTCTTAACCCGGGAGTCTCGAACAAAAAATGTATGGCGCACTTTTTGATTGGTCCAGCGGATGCTGAGCTACACTTAGATAAATTTTTTAAAAAATTTCGAAAAATTAAATTTGCGAGATAATTGATCTGGAATACCGCCAAAGTCTTAACCCGGGAGTCTCGAACAAAAAATGTATGGCGCACTTTTTGATTGGTCCAGCGGATGCTGAGCTACACTCAAATACATTTTTTAAAAAAATTTGAAAAATTAAATTTGCTAGATAATTGATAAGGAATGCCGCCAAAGTCTTAATCCGGGAGTCACGAACAAAAAATGTATGGCGCACTTTTTGATTGGTCCAGCGGATTCTGAGCTACAGTAAAAAACATTGGGAAAAATTAAAGTTGCGAGATAATCGTTCCGGAATACCACCAACATAATAGGGAAAAAGTTTCGAACAAAAAATGTATGGCGCATTTTTTTATTTGTCCAGCGGATGCTGAGCTGCACTCAAATAATTTTCCGAAAAATTTTTGAAAAATAAATTTCCTGAGATAATAATATGGGAATACCGCCAAAGTAGTTAGAACAAAGTTCTGAACAAAAAATGTATGGAGCACTTTTTGATTGGTCCAGTGGATGCTGAGCTATGTCAAAGTAAATTTTGGGATTTTTTGAATTTGCGAGATAATCGTTCAGAAATTATTGTTATTTACAAATTTATCTCAATATATAAATTCTGATTGTAAAAATGCAGTTTAATTTAAATTTTTTCCAAAAAAATTGATACTTCATTTGATCAAATAAAAATATTTTATTTTCGTTATTTGCTTTCTATTAAAAAAAAAACTTTTTTTTCTTCAATCACGGTACGAAAAGTCGATTCTATAAAAATTGATATTAATGCGTATTGTCCCGTTAAGTTAAATAAATAAATAAATGTCTATTTTGAAAAACAGGGACAAAACGGCTTCCTGGCAACATGGGGTGGACAGTTACGCGCACCATACGTTAGCTGGTCACACGGGTAGTTCAGCAGGTGGATTGGGACCTCATGGAGGACATGGACATCCACATGGTGGACATCCTCATGCAGCTCATCCCCATTCAGCATTGGCTGCTGCAAATTCCCCATTTTATGCCCAAAATGTTGCGATGATGTCATCATGGAGGGCTTATGATAGCGCGGGATTTCAAAGAGCCTCACCTTATGGTAAATTTTCCCCATTTTATAATAAACTATTTTTAATATATATTATTTAAGTGATTTTAATTAGTTTTTAATTTTTTTTCCAATTGGTTTTAGACTAATTTTTTTAACAGTTAAAAATTATTAATAATTAAATTTATTAAAAATAAAATACAGCTTTTTCAAGATTTAATATATGATTATAATAATTTTTCTTTATTTATTTTTCTAGTGTATTAAATGTGAACATAAAGTTTGGAACAGCTGCTAAGACTTTATTTTATTATTACAATAAGTTGACCGTAGTAAAAAAAAGTTGTCCTAAAACCTTTTATTTATATTAATATATTTTTTTATGAACACTTAATTTTATTTTGATTTAAATAAAACTGTTATTTGAACCAAAATTAAAAATTTTGTATTCAATGAAGCTGTTTTCTTAGTGAAATATTTTTTTTTCATTTAATTTTTCTATATAACCATATGCGACTAAAGCTAGTTATGTTAAAGGACGTTTGATAAACTATAATCATAATAAGAATAGGAAATTACGCGGCTATTTATCTTATCAATTTTGCACTTATAATTCATGCAATTGTTTTAGTATTATCTACATCATATAATCGAAAACATATCACACTATATAGTAAAATATCATATAGCGGAAAATATTATATATAACGTAAAACGTTGCTTTTTTTTGTATAAGATAATAATTTTAATTATATAAAATATTTAATATTAACATTATTTCATTAATAATAATAATAAGTAATAAATAATAATAATAAAAAAGTATTATTTATTACTTATTATTTAGTTTTAATTTTTTTTTTAAATTTAAATGAAACACACCTTTAAATCCTCGATTCCTTTTGTCCCGGAAATATGTAGAGCTTTTTTCAAAATGATGATAATATCTTCAGAAACACACGTGACTAAAAAATCTCCAACACTCCCGAAATTACTTTTTAAATAACAAAAAAAAAAACGAAACTATTTTACTATAATTATTAAGCGATCGCGATTTAAAATAATTTCGAGCACTCCCGTGAAAAAAAACCGTTTTATATATAAACAAATTTTTAATTTATTTTCTCTGTAAAGAATTGAGAAAAGAACACGAGGTCACTAAATTGAACGCGAAATAGGAACTAATGAAAATTTTGACAACAAAGTGGGGGTAAATTTTTCATTTACCTGCGGTTATTATGATTTATTGTATATAATTAATATGGCGGACCGTCGCTCTTTATTGTTACAATCTAAATATGTAAACAAATAGTTCGAGACAAAACAAATAAACATCTCCTTTCAAAAATGATGAAATTAAAAATTTTTCTTTCCCAAAAATGAATTTTACTTATTTATATATTCTATTTGTCAAATTAAAAATAGCGATATTAAAATTTTTTTATATTAAAAATAGAAAAATAAAATTGTTTTAATTCAATTAATTCACTTTTCAACTTTTTTTTTATAAATATGTGACTTAAAAAAAAAATTAAATTCTACAGATAACTGCAGTATATTATAAATTCTAGTTAATTTAATAAATTAGCAAAGGGGAAAAAAAAATTTCTCGAATATAATGTGAATATCTTCATTAAAATACATCTTGAAAATCAGTAATGATAAGCAGAAGGAGTGAAAAAAGTGATATTTCTTTCAATTTAGACATGCCCTGCAATGTTAAAACTATTTACTAACCACATTGGGCCATGTGCAAGGATATAAATGATAGCGGCCTCTCTGATGAGTGAGGTCGAGTTTCTGGTCAAGTGTTTTTAGTTAGAAATGCAACAGAAGGCACTTCTGAGTTCATTTCCAAAGGCACTTTAAAATTTAAGTGAATTTTATTTTTAATTTACGACTTTCAATTTTTCTCATTTATAAGACTTACAATAATAATAATAATAATTATTATTATAAAAAAAAAATTGTATTTGCTTTCTGTTAAAACTCTTTTTTTAATATAATAATTATTATATTATTTTATTTATTATAATATATTTTAATCAAAATTTATTTAAAAAAGAAATATTTTTTTTAATTCAATTTTATCGACTCTTAAGTAGTAGAAGTTCGGACTTGATCAGACAGATGTCAGAACATTTACTCCGAAAAAGGATTATTAAATATTTTTTTTTTAATTTTACAAGAAAAAATAAAAAAAGAATTTAAAAATAAAAATTCAACAATGAATATATGAATAATAATAACGAATAATAATAATAATAATAATAATAATAATAAAAAATACAAAAAAATATAATAAATAAATAATTAATATTAATTAATAAATAATAAATGCGATTTTCGATGATTTTTTGCAGATTCGTCAATGGAATTTCAATTTGGCGAAGGTCGTGAATGTGTGAATTGCGGAGCAATTTCCACACCCCTTTGGCGACGGGATGGAACTGGTCATTATCTCTGTAATGCTTGTGGTCTTTATCACAAAATGAATGGCATGAATCGACCACTTATCAAACCTTCCAAGCGATTGGTAAGTAAATCAAAGAAAAAAAAATATTACCATTTATTATAGAAATCAGGAAATTTATCAACTTTGAAGAATTTAATAAACTCTTATCTTATTTAAAAATATTTCGAAAAAAAAAAATATTTTTAATTATTTAAATTTAAATTTTTTAATTTTAATTTTTTGTAAAATTTTAAATTACAATTTTCTAAAAAAAAATTGTAAAACATTTCCTATTTTCTATATATAAATATAACCATTGCACAAAAGAGTACTTCCGGTATACATTAGCAAAGGGTCAGATCTCCGAATTCCAGACTGCAACGAGACGACTTGGACTTTGCTGTACAAATTGTGGTACACGAACAACAACATTGTGGAGGCGCAACAACGAGGGCGAACCAGTTTGTAATGCTTGTGGTTTATATTTTAAACTTCATGGTGTCAATCGACCATTGGCGATGAGGAAGGATGGAATTCAAACGAGAAAACGAAAACCAAAAAAGACACCCGAACCCAATGCTCGAACATCGAATGGAGATCATGAAACATCAGCCTCAACAACATCTTCCCCATCTAATGGTACAAAATCACTTTTTTTTTTCTCTCAATTTTTAATTATAATTTACCATAAGGTCTCTCTAGCAAAAATCATCTAGGATTGCTTCATTATTTTCAAAAATAATTATTTATTAGAATTTAAAATTTATTTTCTGAAAAAATAAACAGAAATATTTTTTATTGATTATAATAATTATTTAAAAATGAAGCAAGTCTAGATAATTTTGCGCTTTATAAAATTATAATTTTATATAAATAAATATTTTTTTCACTTACTTAAAAAAAATGATGATTTTAATTTTCAATGTTGCAGAAGGTAAAAGTAGCCATAGTCAGCAGCATCAGCAGCAGCAGCATCAGACAGATGTACCAAAATCATCATCGAGTTCATCGACAACGACGGAAAGACCAGTTTATCTTGGTCATACATCACTTCTTCCAACCGGAAGTACGCCAACTGTAAAAACGGAACCGCGAAGTTGTGAAGGTGTCGTTGCCCAACCATATTCATCATATTATCCTCATCCTCATCAATTGAGTACACCTACAAGTGAACATCAACAATCTAGTTATTATGGAGCTCAGGAAGCACCTTATCATCATCAACATCACGTCACTGCAGCAGCAAAATTATTAGCTTCCTCTTAGTTCTTTTTTTCTAATCTTATTTAAAAAAAAAACGAATTTGAATTTATCTCTAAATATTATATTTCCTTGACAAAAATGACAAATTTGAAAGACTCGAGAAAAAATTTCCATTTCCGTGACGAAACGAATGAATATTTCTTAAAATTAATTATTTCGAATTTTATAAAATAAAAATTTGCCTAATTAAACCCAATTTTTTATTTTGATGAGCTTTTCTTTTTAAAACAATTTTCATATTCAATTTAACGAAAATTTGATTAAATGGAAAATTTATTATTAAATTAAATTTCAAAAAAAAATAACTATTACATATAAATTTTATGGAATATACATGCGCAATCCCCTCGCAGTTAATTTTGAAATTAACATCAAAATTAATTTCATCGTTAAAAGTGTAAAAAATTATTATCATTTTATTCGGTTCATTTTTTTTTTTTTTAATAATATATACGTATGCAATTTCTCTTGATGAATGAATGATGCAAAATGCATTTAAATGTAAAAAAAAAAACTATCCTTAATCTTTTTCTTTCTTTTCCCTCTTTTTGTAGAGTGGCACGAAAAATCGACGAGATTTACGGCCGCAAAAACCAGTTTGAGATATTCAATTCCTAATGCTGACTCTCGCGATGTGTGATATTTAAATTATTTATAAGGCACTCTACACAAGTGTACTCCTGTGTTTATATAAAGAGAAAAAGAATTTGTTCGGGGGAGACAAAGAAAGAAAAAAAAAAAAAGAAATGAAACGATAATGGAATATATGGTATCATTCGAGGCGAATTCTTTTTCTCATAAAAAAAAAAAAAAAAAAAAAAAAATGTAAAATATATTATAACACTCAATTTTGTGCTTCACCTATCACGAGCGATATTTAGAGGCTGGTTAAGTAGTACAAAACGCTCGTGATTGGTCGATGAACTATTTCTTTGGCTTTGATGAAGCGCACTCTTAAAAAAAAATAAACAAAAAACAAGCAATATTATAATACGGTCCGTCCCATTTTGCTGATACTTAAATAAAACGAAATCAATTAATTTTAGAGAAAAAAAAATAATTTTTTTTCAAGACAAATTGTTATTGTATTTTAGATTCTTATTTTTCAATTCAATTTTGCTTTTAGAGAATCGTGAAAAAAAAATTTATGTATTCAAATTTGTCTTGAAAAGACTAATGATAAACTCAGAATTTAAAAAAATAACCATCATTCAAAAGATCTATGATTATTGATTTTTTTTTATTATTAATAATAAATATGTTCGAAATTTTTATTTTTTTAAAAGACATTTCGAAAAATAAATTCTGAGTTTAAATCAATCATTTCACATTTATAAAATTGTAGATGAAAAATCTGACTGTAAATAGTAAAATTTATAAATATAAAAAAAATTATAGATATGTAATATGAACATTAAATTTAAATATACATATACTACTATATATATATATTACTATTAGGTAACTTCAGTCTGTACGTCAATAAAGTATGTTCTCTTTTTAAAAACTATATCGTGCGTATTTACATACATTGCCATTTACTAATAAAAATAGTTTACAATTAATAAATTTTAATTTAAAATTCTAAAAAAAAATGACTAAACATTAACACCTGATATAAGAGAAAAAATTTGTTATTCTTTTCAGAAAAAAAGGAATTATTAATAATCATTAAATAATAATTTTTACAAATAGTAAAATAATTCAAATAAAAAAAATAGTGAAAATAAATGTAGTGAAATTCTAATTTTATTTTTTTTGTAATCTTTTAACGTAATAATATCAGATTGAAATTTCCTGTCACTGAACAAAGTTTATTATTGAATTAAAGAATAAATATTAAGAAAAAAAAAGAAAGATTGAAATCATGACGTTTTTTTTTGTTTGTGAAATAAGTGAATGTTATATTGTTATAACCAAAGTGTTATGATTGAAGGAAAGGGTGTTAGATAAATATTTTCTCTCCGCATGTTACATGACATTGAAGGGGATGAAGACCCGCCCACGATTAATTTGATTGAACCACCCTCTTTATCAAACATCGGTGTGTGTATTCTTCAAAGAACAAGCAATTTGTCAACCTGCGCGTTCACATAAATTCTCAGCAAAATAGAATTCAAATGATGATCAGAGTTCATTTCGTGAAGTCATAAAAATTACTCTCGCATTATATTTATAAAATTCCTTTAATTTTTTAAAAATAATTTATACAATTCCTGCATAAAAATGGGTAAGTACCATATTTATTTTTAATTCTTTTGTTTAATTTATTTCTTTTTTTGTTTGCCAATTTATATATTTAGAAAATAATTATATATTATACAATAATTTCTAAATATTTACTTTATTCAGTGTAAATTTCCAATTCCTGCTTTTTTATTTTAAGTTGAAAATAGTTTTTTTTTGACAAAAAAATTCATTAGAAATTTTGAAACAAAAAAAAAAATTATAAAATTTGATAAAGCAAAATATTTTTAAATTTAAAATATATTAAATGTCGAAAATTTGTCATGTGAAAAAAAATAGGAAGATCATTGCCAGCTCCAGTAGCATGTAAAGTTTGTGGTGATCGTTCATATGGGAAACATTATGGAATTTATTGTTGCGATGGATGTTCTTGTTTTTTTAAAAGATCCATTAGACGTGGAGTCATGTATACGTGCATAGGTAATTAAAAATTAAATATAAAATTTGTTTATCAAAATTGTCAATTAGTATAAAAATTATTTTTTAAAACTCCTTTTGTTTTTGAGATTATTTTTAAAAAATTATTAATTTATTATTTAATTTAATTAAAGCAGGAAATGGAAATTGTATAATAGATAAAGCAAGAAGAAATTGGTGTCCACATTGTCGTTTAAAAAAATGTTTCGCTGTTCAAATGAACACTGCAGGTAAGCGAATTTTATATTTATAAATTTATGATATAATTAAATAAAAATAATATAAAAAAAAAATTAAATTAAATGTTGAAAATATTTTAAAATAATTTTTGCATTTAGAAACAATCAAATCTGTAAAATTGGTTTCGAATATACTAAAAAATTTCTAATAATTAAATTTATCAAATTATTTTTTTTTTAAATCCATTAGATTCTTTTCATAAAAGTTACTATAACTTTGTAATTGTCCATAAAATTACTATAAACTGGCAAAAAAAAAAAAAAATTATTCCATTATTTAATAAAAATTATTATTTTCCTTAAAACAACAAAAAGAAAGAAATATAAATAAATATTTGAAGAACTCTGATTATCGCATTCGAGCAGGTGACAGAAGAGGCAAATAAAGCCGCGTGCCGGTCACACGTCTGACCATACATGAGTATTATGTCAACACCATAAATTGACACGAAGAAAACTAAAATCACGTCGAAAAAAATTTATTTATCTAAATCCAATTATATTTATAATCAAAGATATCTAGAGAAAAAAAAATAAAAATCAAGTGAATTAATCTATTATTTTGAATTTAGCTGTACAAGAAGAAAGAGGTCCTCGCAAAAGAAATAAAATAAGCCCATCAAGATTTTCATGGAAGGCAAAAATTCAATTATCGGGACGAGAAAATTTGAATTCTATTCAAGAAGAAGAGGAACAAAAAAAATTCAATTCATTTCCATTGAAACATATTAATACAAGAATTGAACCAATCTATGAAGTTAGAAAATCAAATTTTATTTTACCACCATTAATAAATCCAACTATTGCTTCGAGAATTATTTTACCTGGTAAAATTATTATTACACTTTCAATAATAGAATTTTTTTTTAAACTTTCTTTCTTTTTTTTTTTTTAGTTGAGAATATAAATATTCAGTATGAAATCGCAGCGCAAATATTTCTACTAACTATTAGAAGAGCACGTCAACATTGCGATTTTCAAAGATTGAATATTCAAAATCAAAATTCAATACTACGTCAAGGTTGGGCTTCTGTATTTATTCTTCATGCTTCAACATTTCCCATGCATTTTATTCAATTGTTAATAAATAAACGTACCACGGAGAAAACTACATTGAATTCATTAATGACAGCGCGAGCATCACTTTTAAAATTACAACTTGATGAAATTGAATTTTCCGCATTGGAAACTCTTTCCCTTTGTCGACCTGGTTTGTATTTATATATATTTTTTAAATTTATTTTCATTAACTAATTATTTCAATCTAATTTTTATTTTATTTTGCAGAATTAACAGAATCACCAGATAGTTTCGATTCTTTATCGAGAGCACGAAATTCAGCATCAGAATTATTGTTACGTCATCTTCAGAGCCATGAAAATCGAGAATATAGAATTATACAAATAATGTTAGTTCTATCAATTCTCACTGCTTGTTGTACAAGAGAATTGGGAATTGCTCTTTTCTCACCAATTATTGGTGATTTAGCACTGGATCATGTAATCGCTTCTATAATATGAGTCACAATAAATATTTTCTATATATATATATCTCACAATAAATAAAATTACTATTTGAACCCTAATAAATCCGAATTTTGTTTCTTAATTAATTCTGATACTGATTTTCAATTCTTTCGAATTTATAATTATAATTTAATTTCGCGTGTAATTTTTTTTTTCTTTTAAATTTCGTGATATAAATTGACTTTAGGAAGAAAAAAATTTTAATTTATTTTTACTCTGCTTTCAATTTAAAAACAAGATGAAAGTTCATTTTGAAAAAAAAAAATTGGAATTTATTTCTAAAAAAGTAATAAAAACTTACGTGAGAAATCTTGGAGATTTTTCTTGTTGTCTTTGAATTGTATCACATTTCTCATATGGTCTGGAGCAATTTTGAATTCTATTTCTGAAAATGGTTCCGAAAAATTCAGGAAGATCATCATCTTCTTTTGAGTCGTCATTTAGACAGACGAATTTCATCAAAACCAAATAGGATAGAAAACTTGATTTTCTCTCTGAAAAATGTGAATCAATTCAAATAAATAAATTTTAATTTTATTAAGGTAATATTAGTGATATATATTTAATATAATACTTAAAATTACAAAAAGGTTTGGCTAAAACTTTGTGGGAAATTTTCTCACGCAAATGAAACTTACATTTTATATTTATTTCACCGAGAAATCGTGGCAGATTTATCAATTTTTTGATAACAAAAAAAAATGCAGTACTCTCGCGACCGTTGAAGACATGAATATCACAAACATCATCGTTGAAGCCATGGAAAATCATCAAAAAAAAAAAAGAAAAAAAAAGTGTAATATTAAATATATTCATATTAAGTAAAATAATAAATTAAAATTTAATTTCAGTAATTATAATTAATTTAGCATCACAAAAAAAAATTTAATTAAAACTTCGAATAAAATTTTCTCACGAAAGAAAAACTTACATTATATATTTATTTCACCGAGAAATCGTGGCAGATTTATCAATTTTGTGATAACAAAAAAAAATGCAGTACTCTCGCGATCGTTGAAGACATGAATATCACAAACATCATCATTGAAGCCATGGAAGATAATCCAAAAAAAAAGAGAGGAAAAAAAAAGAAAAAAATGTTAATTATTTTCATTTATAACATTGATTATAAAAAAATTTTAAAAAAAATTAATTATAAATTAAAATAAATGAATAAAAGATTGAAAAGAATGTATCTCAATTTTTTTCCCTCAAAAGTATTTCACACGTTTAAACTAGTTGAACGCAAATGCAACACAATAGGAATGGATTAATAGTAAAAAAAATTATAATCATACCTTTTCAAAAAATAATCCCCGATTTTACACCATGAACAGAAATAGAAGTTGAATTCAATTTAGATAATAAAACTGCAATGTGTCTCAATTTTCACCGATTGGATTGCACAGCCCTTTATCTGTAAAATAAGTACAAAATATATTAGTAATAAACTCTTAATAATTACTAATTAAATAAAATCATATTACCTTTATTTGAATATAATTTCACCGTGTGATACTTCAATAAAAGTGAAAATTTGTCATCAAGAGCTTGAAAAACGCTATTCATTCAAATAACAACAGCTTCAGTTTGAATTCCCAAAATGCTTAACTATATTACTTATTGAAAAATAATTAAAATTACGAATTTTAAATTTGAATTATAATTTATTTTAATTTTTAAAAAACTTAATTACTTTTTTTAATATTAAAAATTTTATTTCTATATTCAACAAAATTTAATAGTAAAAAAAAATTTGAAAAAAACATAATTTAGTTTTTTTTTGTTGTATGAAAAATAATTTATATTAAATTTTTAAAAAAAAATTAAAATCAAATTAATTTTTCAAATTTAAAAATGAAGAGAGAAGACAAGTTTTTTTTTAAATAATTGGAAAAATTACAATTGAAATTTTTCTTTGGCACTTTATTAACATAACAAATTACAAAGTGTAAGTATGTACAAATAACTACAATAATATGGCGTAAGAAACTATGATTAAGTGTTACAATGCCTACGCGGAAAAAAAATGATATGTCATATATCGTTCAATTTTTTATACGTAAAAAACAACATAATAAACACCATTAACTTCGAAAAGAAAATTAATAATAAATGTTATATACGTATAAGAGACGTAACAATTTCAGAATATGATAAACATATTTTTTACTACTTTACTTTTTCATTTTAAATATTTTTAAAAAATTTTCATATAATTTAATTTGATATCTATTTTTTAGAATTTGTTTTTTAAACTCTTTGTAACTTTATAAAACTTTTATAATTAATTTTTAATAAATTGTTTAAAAAATTTTTTAATACTTATTTTAAGTTAGTAGAGTTTAATAATAAATTTAATTTACAAATTTTTTTTTTTTTGAACGAAACAATATTTAAATTAGTACGAAGAAAATAAGACATAAGTTAATTTTTTTTTAAACTTTGCTTTCTCAAAAAAAAAAGTTAAAGCTTTTTATTCATAAAAAAAAAAAGTTTGGGCATATTTTAAATGCCAAGGCACCTTTTTGAAAATGCTTTTTACTTAACATATTAATATTCCTAATGCGCTATTATTTGTTGAGCAGCATTTCATATTATAAACGAAATGATTTTTTATTAGTCGATGTAAGGGGGGAAAAAAATAATAAATATTAGTGTTACAACTTAAAAAAAATTAATATATAGCACATTTTTTAGATCACTGAATTACGATCTTTTTTTTAAACGAATAACTATATACTAAAATTTAAAAAAAAAATACAAATACAAATAGAATTATATTAAGTAGACAATTAATTTTTAAGTCGTAATTCAATTCGTTTTTAGAATGAATTTTTTTTCTATTTATAAATGATAAAACGAGCCACTTTTAGTGAACTTTATATATATATATATATATGTATATATAAAAAAAAACAATTTATACAGAGACATAAATGCTTCAAAAAAATTTTTTTTTATCAAAAGGAATGTTTTTTTTTAATAAAAATAAAAATTCGAGACAAATGTACGAAAAAAATGAGGTTCGATCTTTTCGAAATTAAAAAAAAAAAGATGAGAATTAAAAAAGATAATGAATTTTGTAAAATTATTTTAGAGTTAGTAACAAAAAAAAAAAAACTCTTCGTGAATTCTTAAAATAAAAAATTTCACATGGGGAAAATTAATTAATATTTAAATTTGTTGTATTTGTACTTACGATACCGATCTTCTTCCGTTCTTCTTAGTTGTCTTATTAAATCGCTGGGTACAAACCACAATCTATCGACATTATTTAATAGAGCTTCCGTTATTTGACAACAAACCGCTGCCATATTTACTTGAGCACTTAAATCCGTTCGATCACGTGGATAAATGTAGCGAGGTGGAAATAGCGATGGTGCCACAATCATAGCAACATTATGAATTGACATTTTATTTGAGTTTTGATTCTCAACGACGAGCATTAAAAATTGCAATAATGCCTTTAATGTACATCGATGTTCAACTGGTAGTAATAGCACCAAAAGATTTAATGATAAAGCGAGATCACTTGGATTTTTCACACCTATAGAAAAAAAGAAAATAAATACAAATTATTATTTAAATAGTAATGATAAAAATTTATTTAAATAATAATTAATTAATAAAAAAAAAATACTTGACTTACCGTGACTTTGATAAAAAGCATCAATGAGTTCAACGGTGAGAAGAGGTTGAGGCAAATCACGTAAAAGTTTCTTTAAAACAACTGATAAATCATTGCACGGCGTACGCTTAAAAAGTGAATCCATTTCGTTTGGTTTACAATAGAAATCATTTTCCAATTCTGAACACAAAGTTTCGACCTAGAAAAAAAATATAATTAGTTATAAATTTAGAGAGAGATGTAAATATGAAAATTTCAATCTTATTTACTTTTTGTTTATGGCCACCAACACGAAGAATACCTTCTTCTTTAACACCACGTTTCGTTAATTCGGATAAAATTTTTTGAAACACTAATGGAATATTATTTTCTTCACTTGTTATTTGAGTATCACGCAAAAGTAACGTCGATAACGAAACACCAAAAAGATTACCAGCTGTAAATTCAATAATTATTTTCATTTCAATAAAATAGCAATTTTAAATTTTCATTTCAACAAATGAGAAATAAATTTGAATAAAAGATTAATTGTATTATAATGGTATGAGTAATATATTAGTATGAGTAATATATTAATATTATATACAAGAAATATTTTAATATTAATAAATATTTTGCAAATAAATACCTTTTGGTATGCGTTTATTTGGTTTCCGTTTGGTAAGAGGAACATTGTATTTATCATAAACGGCAGTTAAATCAAGCCATAGTAATGATTGTAGTCGAGTTAATTCACGTTGCGATAATAATTCAATACCAAGACCCTCACAATTTTCATCGGTGATAAATGTATTTTCAGACCAAACTTTTGATTTTGTTTCATTTGCCTTGCACATTTCTTCAAAACTAAGATGACCATGTGATGATGTACGATTTAAGGGTTTTGCAGTAACACTTTCATCACGACTTGGCCGCGACATTCCGTATAAACTACTGTGACTTCGGGTAACTGTTGCGTGGCCTCCTGAATTCCTCCTAGTGAAAATAAAAATAACAAAAAAAAAATAAAAGAAAACTTTAGAAATCGATGAAACAAAATTAAGTCATGCAATTAGTCTAATGACTTTTTTTCTTTCTCTCTCTTTCTCTCATACATACTTAAGCGTTGATTCCTTTGGAACTGATAATTTTTCAACTGCCGTGGATTCCACACCGGTAACTTCTCCAAGATCACTACCACTTCGCCTTGGTAACACTGATCTTGGTATGTGTATCGTTCCTAGTCTTTGATATGCGGTTAATTGAATTCCTTCTGCAATTTTTTTTTTAACAATTTGAAAATGAATTTTTCATTTTAGTTAATATATATTTTTTTCAAATTAAAAAAAGGTATATAGAAATAAATATATAAGAAAATAATTATAATTTGTATTTCTTATATTTCGACTTTACTTTTTTTTCCCTGAACAAAAGGTAAAGAGCAGTAAAATAAATACCTACATTTCGAATTGTTTTAAATTTTGCTGACGAAAAATAATAAAAATCATTACGTATAATTCGATATTATTAATGATTTTTAAATTAACAATTAAATAATATACGAGAAACTTTTAAACATTCGAATATTTTTTTTTTCTATGATAAAAACTGTTATTTAACACAACAAAGTTGCCACGCTACTACGTATTAATACAAAGACAATACTATTGCTTTTATAACCAACTTGTATTTGATAAGGTTTACTGTCGGTAAGCAAAAAAAAAAAGTTGTTTATTATTATTATTGTCAACATTTGTGAACAAATAGAAAAAAAAACTATTTTTTTTTTACCAACAATAAGTGGGATTTTTTTGAATTGATTTAAAATTTTCTATTTAATATTTTACAAAATCTTTATTTAAAAATTAATTATTTCACTGTTTTCTTTTTTTAAATTATTATTCATACAACTTTTTTTGTATGCATTGCTATTGTTAACTCTGGGATAAATTGTACTTTTGTAAACATATCTATATTAAATTAATTACGAAATAAATAATTGTTCTTTATTATGTTAAATTACTTTTAAAAAGAAATCTCATAAAATTTTTAAATGTAAATCATTTATAGGGTTTGTTTGATTTAAAAAAAAAACGAGCCTCAGAAAGTAATTATAAAGTTAAAAAGAAAAAAAAAATTACCTGAATCACTGGCAACATCTCCACGTTGAGCCCAGTGTCCAGATCTTCGGAAAATTTCTTGAAATGGAACTGGAGTTGGCGCTGCAACTGATGTCGATGACGAAACATTTGTAATTCTACGTCCAGCTTCTTTGCCATCGTGAAGATTTCGATGAAATATGGATACAAAGCTCGGAACATTTACACTAAAATAAATAATTAAAAATTATATTTATTTTAATAAAAACTATTTTCATAAAATAATTTTTATTACATGTCGTTTTCGAAAACTTACTTTTCATGATGAGTATCAATAACCCCAACGTTTGGAGGAGACGGTGGAGAAATTCCTTCAGGAGTTTCTCCTGAAACAGAATCAAGAGAGTCAGGAGTAGCACTTCGAGATCTTGTACCTGTACTGGAAACCTATGAAAGAAAAAAAGAAAGAAATTATCATTTTTCAAAAAAAAAAAAATGTTTAATAATTTTCAATCAACAATTTTTTACCTCTGCATCTTTAAAAACATCTCTAATGTCGGGTTTTCGAACACGTTGCCTCTGATTGAAACGTTGCTTTACTGTATGATTGAGTGATCGTACACGTCGTTTTACAGCTTCTGCTTGTGCACGTGACAATGGTCTCAAAACTGCTCCTAACTCTTCTGGTTGAATTTCTCTACCAGCTTTCCAAGGTTCGGTTAATTCTCCTAAACCTGCTGCTCTCAACCATTCTGCTTCCTCTTCACCTTCTTTAATTATAAAACCACCCCCCAAAATTAAGAATTAATAAAATTTCCCAATAAGTTACTAATTGAATGTTATTAAATATTAATGAAATTTCTTTTAATTGAAAAGATTTGTAAAAAAAAAATTTTTAATACCATCGTAACTTCGAGGACTGCATTCTTCTTCAAGATAATCATCTAAAATCTTTGTTTCTTCCATCACTTTCTTGTAAACTTCCCAACATTCTTGTGGATTGTTACTACCACCAAAACCAGCTCCATTTCCTTTATCCATGGTTCTTTTCTTTCTAATAATTAAATTTTAAATGCAAATTCAATATTTTACATTCATATTGTGAGCATATCGTTTTATTTTATATGTATTCCTTTCAAATTTATAATTCTTCTGAGTCTGAAATAGAAATAAAAATTTTATTTATTTTATTTTAAGATTAACTGTTTACTTTTATTATCAATTACTTATCTGCTATCAAGATAAAATTGAATTTTCGCAATAAAATCTGATATTTTTCTAATAAAAATAAAAAAAAAAAAATTCATTTTCAATTTATCTTAACTAGAAATTACAAAGAATTTTAATTATTTACTTTTTACTCCTATAAATATTAATTTTTAAATAATTGAGGTCAGAAATATTTTTTTTCGGTAACAGTAACACATCTGTTGTTTACAATTTAAAAAACAATATTTAAATAATAATCTTCCCGTAAAAAATATCATCTACTATCGAAATTGTTTTAAAATTGAAATTTACTTTTTCTCTACCTATAATTTATTCCATAATAATTATGTTCAAGGTGTTTTTATTTATTTTCACTCCCGAAATAAAAATAAAACAAAAAAAAAAATATATCACATATCAAAAGCATATCAACAAATTTCAAAATGCACAAGAAACATTTTTTTTTTTTTTAATTCTTCTTTTATCTGATTTCAACAAGAAAAAATTGCATAAAGAATGGGTCATAAAATTCCTTGATGTCCAGAAACGAAACACGTCACGAATTATTACGAAACATAACCTCGCCATTTGTATATGTATGTATATATATATAGAACTTAACGAAATAATACAGAAATGAGATTCAAAGATTTGTTTTCATGAATGGAGTCTCATTATTTACAAAGATAATCCCTTCCATCAACTACACGACATCAATGAAACCAACATTGTTGATAAAAAAAAAATCAATAAATAAAAACACACTACTTATAGATTTTGAAAATAAAAACAACATTGGATGTGAAAAAAATAAATCAAAAAACAAATAAGTGACAATTACAGATGAAAAAATAACTATATCAGCATCCATTGAATGTTTGTAACAATATTCGTAATTTATTCAAAAATGAACAGCGCCCATACCCATACCACGAGGAACAAGAAGATTGCTGATGGTCAACCACGAGCCTATGAACATCAAACATGTCCTGATTTTTAATCCAACAGGTACTTGTTGATAACTAATTTAATCTTCTTATTCACTCTCTTTATGTTGTTTCGACACTTTTTCTTTTCTTCTCTTCGTTTTCTGTCTTGAATTCACCGTCAAGAAATTTAACGCGCTTTTTTTTTCTCTATTACACTGACTACTACACAGACACACACACGACAAACGACAAATCCCACTTTTTTTTTATAATTAATGTTGTAGCACCTGAGTGCCATATAATTAATTCAAGAAGTAGACGCCATCTTCTGTCGTAATTTGTGCTAAAATCTCAATGTAAACAACATCGGTAATGTAGAAAGTCAACCTTCAAATCGTTTCATCTGTAGGTAGTGATCCATTGCGCAAATCGCGCAACTTCGTTCTAGCCAATCAGAATTTAGCGCGCGTATTTTTTGAAAAACACAAACAATGAGAAAACTAATTTGCAAAAATAACTAAACAATTAAAAACTCTTAAAAATTTAATAAAAATACTAAAATATATTTTTTTAAATATATAGAAATATATAAATTAATAATTAATAATCAATTATTAATTATTGATAAACTAATAATTAATTATTCAATTATTTTCCCCTTGAAAATTGTTTTTTTTCGCTAAAAAATTTTAATTGACAAACAAATAAGAATTGCTTGACAGATTTTTTTTTCATAAAATATGTAATTAAAAATTTTATTATTAAAAAAATTATAGATTAGATATATACGAAATATAAATTTGTCAAATTAAAATTTTTCTTAATAAAAAAAAAAATATATGCGAAACAAACGAAAAAAAAAACGAGAAAATCGAGTATTTAAACGGCCTTATTTACATATTCGCGTGAAATGGAAATTGTTCACTATAATCTTTTGTAGCGTACTGTACAGGATAACGGCACCTTTCTCCTTCTTATTTTTATTCAGGGACTTTATAGTTTTCGAAGGTGATTCAGTTGAGATGCAGACGCTGTATAGTTACATATAGTTTTACACACATATACACACGCACATCATGAGTAAGTTAAAATTAATTAATATAATAATAATAATATTATTATTATTATTAATATTAAATTTTTAATAAATTATTATATAAAATAAATTATATAACTTTCAAAATCATGTTTTAAAAAAAATGAGGCACAAATATATAATATCTTTAAAATTCGTCTTGTGAAAGGTTTTCATGAGATTTCTCATTGTGTAAAAATATATGTATTATCTCATTCAACTATATCTATATATGAAAAACATGTATATTTTGTTATAAGGAATGTTAAACAATTCCATAAGGTCGACATTATTTATAATGATCTGAATTAATAAAAATTGACCTTAATATTTTATGCTTTCAATTGTCATCATAGAATAGAGAAAAACGCCTTTTTCGGTAAACGAAACAAAAAATGTTTTATGAATCCACCCACATAATCTTTAAATCGCAATCATCATGATTACATCATTTTTAGAATAAAGATCATTGAAAATAAATTAATTTTTTAAACATTTTTTAAAATTACATAAAATAAATTTAATTGAAAAATTCATAAAAACAATAATTGAATTAATTTAATTTTTTCAAATTCTTTAGTTATATATATATATTATTAAATAAATTTAAAAAAAATTAATGTTCTTTAATTTAAATAATAAGTAAAATTAGTATTTAAATCTAATTGTAAAAAAAATTTCCATCTAATTTTATTATGTTACAGATATTATCTACGGAATTAGCTTGAGCATAGCTCTTTTTGTAAGTATATATTTTTTTGTTTTCTTAACAAAAAAAAAATTTTTTTTTTTTAATTTTTAAAAATAATTTTTCTTTTTTAAAAAAATAATAAATGAAATTAATAATTTGATTAACTCACATATTAGATCCTTTTAACATCCGTCGTAGCGAGTGACATCATGCTTAGAAAAAGTATAGTTTATGACAAAAAGACGCCTGATGTGTTTTATTGTCCTCAACATAAACCAACGGGAAAAGATAAGATGATAGTAAAAGCCAGGCCACTATCGAAACTTTGCGAATTTGGAGATAAACCAATTCCTGAAGATTATAAAAGTGATTGTTACAATAATGTTGATGAGACTGATTTTGCATGCAAAGAAAAATACAGAATTATGGTAATTATTTTTTCATTATTCGAATTAATGTTAAGTTTCTTTTTTTTTTTTATTTCTTTAGGAAAATTAATTTAATCTTCGAAGATTAAAAAAAAAAAAAAAAATTCCTTGCTAATTTTAATACATATGCTATATTCCAAAAATTAATTTCAAAGACACAAAAGCACGCACAAACAAATCATAATTAACTATGGCAATTAAACAAAAAAAAAATATATATTTTTATTTTTAATTATTATTATTAAACTATTAAAATTATTTAAAAATATTTAATTATTATGAAATTGATAAAAAAAAGAAAAAATAGAGAAAGAAAATTATTCATATTAATTTAGAAACAATTTTAAATTATTATTTTTAATAATAATGATTGAAAATAATTTCTAGCTATATCACAATAATCCCTTAACAATGGCAATTCCTCCTAAATTATAACGACGGGTGTTGGTTTTTTTTTCTTTCAGAAGCGTTTGAAGAATGGCAAAAAGCAATGAAGAAAACTGGGAGACAAGACTTTAACATATATAGAAATAACAAGAATGTAACACGAGCAAGCAAAACGCATTTAAGTTACTAATTTTTTTTTTTTATCAAGCATTTACATTATATAATAATGTATTTTACAGTATTCTACATTATGATAATTATATAATTATAATTAATAATTATAAGATAAAAAAAATTATTTATTATTTGCTTTGATAATTATATTTCCCAAATGGTAACACATCACTTTCATTTGCTTTAGATTTTATTTATTCCGTCATGAATAATTTTTTTTTAATTGCATATTAATTATATAATTATTATAACAGCTTTAGAAACACACGATAATATTTATCAGGTCACTGGTTATATTTTCCAAATGCGAATAAAAAAAAATCTATTTACACTCATAGGGGGAAATCATTCAATCAATTTTATAAATATTTTTACACAAATGATTCGAAAATTTTTAAAATTTTAAATCTTCAATTTTAGAATTTAATTATTCAATCATTTTAAAAGTTAAATAAATTTAATTAAATAATCTAATTAATGTTTAATATTATTTTTAAAAATATTTCGGTGTTAAAAATATTGTTTACTATAATTAGTTTGGTTGAATGAATCCTATAGAATATTTATTAGGAAAAATACTCACCAATTTACATATCGTTCGCCTTTGGGATAATTATAAAATCATTTTAACACATTTTTGCTGATTGATTGCTGTCGGGGCTGTGAGAGACCAATCAGGATTGGATTTTTGTTCCTTTGAGGTAAGAAAATCGTTTTTATGGTGATCAAACTGAAGAAACTTTTCAACTCTAAAACAGAGTAATATATACAAAAATAATACTAATAAATTGAATATTAAAAAAAATGTTCTAATAACTAATATAATAATTAGTATACGTCTATAATTTTAATAAATTAATATATTATATTAGTTAATATTGTTAAATTAATATAATTAAATAATATATGGTAATTAATTTTTATTAATTTCAAATTAATCAAAGTTTTTGAAAGTAAATTAAAATTCTTAAAATCTAATAAATTTTATGTATTTATTATTGTAAATATATTTTACTATAAAACTAACGAGTCAAGTTGATGTAAAAAAGCAAATCTCACAAAAAAAATTGCTCATAACTAAGGTGTAAATTAGAGACTAATAAAAATTAAAATAATTAGTGAATAATTAAAATTTTTAATTTTCAGATGAGACTCCATCCTCCCGGAAGTGATACGCCTTATAATGAAAAGCGTTTAAAAAAATTTAATACACCCGCAAAAGAAGAAAAAGAACAAAAGAAAAATATTTAATTCTGTACATTTTATGAATGTTATAATATGAAATTAAACAAAAAAATTTTATTTTAGTTGATGACCTCTTGTGTATAATAAATTTAAAAAATATATAATATATATATAAACCAAATTATGTAAATTTAAAAACAATTATATTAATTTATAAAAGATTATAATAAATATTAATAATAATTATTGTTACTGTAAAAAGAAGTTGAAATAGTAAATAAAAATAAAAAAAAATTAATAAAACGTGAATTTACAGTTCAGAAATAAGATGAGCCCTTCAATTTAAGTGTAAATTTAGAATCACGACGCTTGCGCTATTCAAGAACGCGAAGAGAAAATATTATTAGTGACTGTGTGATGATCTTTGAAAATTTTGTAAATAGAATTCATTTTTTTCGATATTTGTTTCTTTTTAAAGCAAAATGAATATTAATTTTTATTATTAGAAATTAAATAAATTAATTAAAAGTATTTGAAAAACTTACAATATTAAAAAATGGAGGGCCTAGATGTTTGGGGGCAAATAGCCGTTGAAACATCTCAAATGTATGTTTCAGAAGGCGGAGTCGTAAAAAGTCGTTTTGCAAGTACAGTAAGTTTTTTCCATTCTTTTCTTCTTCTTTAATATCATATCCAAATTGTATTATCCAATTTTTATTTTCTGTATGAAACAAATTATTACACATTAAAAAGGTAAGTATAAATAATATTTCAGAGTTGTTTTGAAAAAAAGAAATTTTGAAGCTAACTAAAAACATTAGAGAAATAAACAATTTGACTGTTTATTAATTTTAAGAATGCAATTTAAAAAAGAAAATATTTAAAATATTTTAATTAAAAAAGCATGAAAATAGTACTGTACTTTAAAAACATTGTACAGCTTGTAAAATTCACAATTTTTTGAAGAAAGGTAGTATTAAATTTTTTTTTTACTTTTGCAAAAATATCCCTGTTAAATGAAATCTAATTTTTAATTCATTAATCAAATGAAAGAAAGATTATGCTAATAAATTTTTTGCAAATTATTTTTAACAATTCTGAAATTTTCCATCATTTTTCTTCTAGCGAAAAATTGTTTAAAATTCATTAAAGAAATTTTATTTACCCTTTATTTTCTATAGAATTGTCAGGAAAATTTTTTTAAGTGAAACATAGAAATTTTTTTAATTCTTCTTTAGAGAAATTATAAAATTTTCAATTGAATAATAATTTTGCAACTTACAGGATTACCGATTAAAGGCACCTTTTGAGGAAGAGATTCTCACAGGATTTCAGGTGGGAATCAGTCAACATTATCTGGAAAATTATAATGTATATATTATATATTCTTCTTCAATTCTCTTATATATATATATTAACTTCTTGATCTTTATTTCGAACATATTTGAATAATAATCTATTTTGTGCTTGCCTTCAATGTCTCTATCTATATTTTTCTTCACAATTTTCTTCATTCTTTCAGAATTTTCCTCACAAGATAAACTATAATCAATATTGTCGGATGAGTTTTCTTCATATAAATGAAAATTAAATAATATCAAATTTGAAATATTCAAAGTTTCACTTCTCTTCTTATTCTTTCGCATTGAATTTTTTCTCCACACTGATTTGACTTTATATTAGGCTTCAGAATTAATTAATTATTGTTATTATTATATTATTAATCAAAGTTCAACTGCCTTGAATTTTTCTCTTTACTGCTTTGCAAATTTTTTTTTCTTTTTTTTTGCTTTCTTGTTGTAATAATTTTCTTTTTTAAATGTAGATTAAAAATTCTGAAATTAAAATTGAACTTATAAAAAATTATAAAATTTATATTGAAATAATAGGGATTTTTTTGCAAAATGTGTAAAAGTTTAAAAAATATCTTTTTTTTTTCAAAGTATTAACCTAATAAATGCAATTAATTTAATTTTCACATACAATAACAAGAAATCAAATGGACTTCGTCATCAATGAAGGGAATAACAAGTAACGAATTCTTTCATTTAATATTTCGAAATTGAAAATAAAAAATCAATATTAAAATGCAAATATGTCTCTTTCAATTTTTTTTTAGACTATTGAAAAATTACCGGATAAAGTAATTTTAAACGTCTTCAGTTATTTAAGTCATCGTGAAATCTGTAGAATGGCACGTGTTTGTAGAAGATGGCGACAAATTGCATACGATTCACGTTTATGGAAACATGTTTCATTAAGACCGGAAATTAGTGGTTTACACGTTGGTTCATTGGAAAGTCTTTTACAATTAATCAGGTATATTGCATAATTATGGAAAAAATTTAATAAACAAAAAAAATTAATAAATTAATAAAAAATAATATTGATGATACAATAAATTGAATTTTTGGCAAAATATTTTATAATTTACTAAATAAATATTGATTATTAAATTGCGAATTAAAAATAAAATAATTTTTCATTTTACAGTGGTAGATTTAGTTCCTCGCTGAGGTACATTGAACTTCCCATCGAGCTTATAACACATACTGTTTTACATGAATTAGCAAATAAATGTCCAAATTTAACACACATGCTACTTGATTTTTCAACGGCTATGCAATTACATGATTTTTCCGAAATGCAAGCTTTTCCAACAAAACTCAAATATATGTGTATTTGTCTTTCTGAAGTTATTTTCATGGAAGGTTTTATGAGAAAAATTTATAATTTTATCAATGGTCTTGAGATACTTCATTTAATTGGTAAATTAATTGTATTAAAATTAATACCACCGGAATAATAAATTTATTTTTATTATGGAAATGAAAAATAAATTAATGAGAAAACAAATATTAATCAATTAATTTTGTAGGTACTTACGAAAAGGTAGAAGAAGAAGAAGAGGAAATTTATGAAGTTATCAATGTACATAAATTAAAATCAGCAACACCAAATTTAAGAGTCATCAATCTTTATGGAATTAATTTTGTCGATGATTCTCATATCGATGCATTTTCATCGAATTGCATTCAATTGGAATGTTTGGCAGTAAATTTTTGTTCCAAAGTTACTGGATCAACGATGAAAACCCTATTTCAAAGAAGCAGAAGATTAAAATGTTTATTAATGCAAGGAACAAGTAAAAATTAATTTGTATTTTTTTTCTAATTGAATTATAAAAAAAAAACGATAAATTTTTTTAACGAAGTTAATTAAAGTTTTAAGTTCGTTAAAGTTTTAACGAAAATAGTTAAAATTATAAATTGTGAAACAAAAAATAAAAATTCTTTATTTACAGATCTTCGAAGTGATCATGTAATGCAAGTAGAATGGGAAAAAACATGTATTCAAGAATTAGATGTTACGGCAACAGATTTATCAACTGAATGTCTCATTGATATGTTAACAAGAATTCCAGGCTTACGTTTTTTAAGTGCAGGACAATTAAATGGTTTCAATGATTCTGTTTTAAAATCATGGGCCGAAGTTGGTAATCCACGAAATTTAATAGCCCTCGATTTAGATAGTTCCGATAATTTAAGCGATGATGCATTACATAAATTTTTATCACGCTATGGCCATCAATTATGGGGTATTGCATTGTCCGGTATGCCACATATTACCGATCAACTTTGGCAGAGTGTATTACCTATTTTAACAAATGCAAAGTAAATGAGAACAAAAACTATACAATTAAATTAATATTATAATATAAATAAAATTAATAATTATTACCTTTTTGTTTTAATAGAATCTTTGTAATGGGCACAAACGAAAGGCTAGGTGTCAATATTCATGTTGATCAATTAATGGATGGAATTGCAAATAATTGTCCAAATATAGAGAGACTCGAATTGCGATGGGATCCTGAAAATCTTAGATTCTCGGACAAAAGTCAAAAAGCAATTGACATTCTCCGTGTAAAATGTATTAAATTAAGATGTTTAGTCCTCAGGTATGGAATTTAAAAATTTTTTTATTATATAATTATAATAATATATAATTAATAATAAACATATTCCAGTGATGGGAGATATTATGAAATTGTGAAAGCAAATTTTGAACGAGCTGACAGATTAACAGTTGTTCGTACAACAACTTGCTGTAGAGTTTCAAATTATTATTTATTACAGGACTACAAGGATTTAATTTTTAATTAATGACAAATTATATTTTCAAATATTTTAGAAAATATTTCAAAAAAATCAAACTGTTCATTATGTAATTATTGTAATTACTAATTAATAATTACATAACGAAAAAAATAATGCTCAAAGTAATTAATTAAAAACGATTAAATTTGAATTAACATAAGTACTATATTAATGAAAAAAAATTCAAATTATTCAAATAAATAAATAATATCTTTGAACAAATAAATTAAATCAAATAAACTAAATGAGAAATATAATTTTGTTAAAGTACTTTTTCGAAATTAATTGAAAAAAAAATTTCTAATGAAATGATCAATTAAAAGAAATTTGAATTTATTATTTCAAAATTCAAGTTACCTCACTTTTTTTTAACAAAAGAAATTACGTTGAGTTTTATATTAAATACGTGTTTTTTTAACAATAAAATCAATTATTATTTATAAATAAATTGTAAACGCTTTATGGAAAATATATATATAATAAAAAAAATTGTTAAATAGAACACTTATCTTTTCGTTTTGTTTTATCACAATCACTTTTCAATGTTCATTTGGGTTATATTATTATCTTCGGGCTCGGCTGGTATCGTTATACCGCCAGTGTCAATATTTTCCTCCTCTTCTCTTGGTATTTTTAAAAAGCAATGCATTGTTTCTTCATCGTCTTGTTCTATTGGTGGAACAGTTTTTAATGATGTTGTCTCATTTGATGGTAATGAACCCTCAAGATGTTTCGATGGTATTTGTATTGTTATTGTTTGCGATGTACCATCAGCGGATGTTGATGATGACATTAAATTTGCCTCAATTGTCCTTCCAACTTTAGAAAATGCACCCAAACAACTGTAAATTAATTGTGCCGCTGCAATATTGCCGGGAAAAACTTCAACATTTTCACCATCTGTAACTAATAATATTCATCATTTTTAATTTTAAATATAAAAATGTTTTTTAATAATGAAAGGAAAAAAATATTATTACCCTTAGTTGGATTAGAAACTTTAATAAAACCCTTCTCATGATCCTTAATGTGTTGTAGATAACTTTCTTTTTTGACTGTTTCAAATGAACATAATTCACAGGTAAATACACCGGAAAGTAAGGGATGTTTTGAACGCAAATGATTTTTATAACTATTACTTTGTATTGCCGAATATGGACAATGTGGACATTTGTAAGGTTTAACTCCTAAAAAAAATTATTACAAATCTTTAAATACAATTTTACCAGTTAAAAATAGTAAGTAAATTTATTTTTTTTTTTTTGAGAAATATTTACCTGTATGCCTCATAGCATGTCGACGCAATGAATTATGATCACCGGTTTTATAATCACATAATTCACAATTAAATGGTTTGTCGCCAGTGTGTTGTCGTAAATGCATTTGTAACATAGATTTTCTTGCACTGGAATGACCACAAACTGTACAAACATAGGGACGTAATTTTGAATGTACCGCTTGTATATGATTTTTTAAACATTTTGAATCGGCATATGTTTTTCCACATAATTCACATATTTTCGATGTATACCAACGTGGAATTTCAGCAGTTTTTCTATCTAAATGAATAACTCTATGATTTCTCAATTGACTTGATTGCTTAAAACATTTACCACAATCAGGACATTCGTAATCTTTATTTAAATTATGAACTTTCATGTGCGTTATCATTTTCACCATTGTTGTACTTTTGTAAGAATTACAAATTTTACATGACAAAAGATCGATATCTATAAGAAAATTTATTTATATCAAAATAAGAAAAAATAATTGTTAAATAAAAAAAAACTAAAATTCTAAATAAAAATTATCATCTCACCTATTTGATGTAATTTCCATAAATGTAAACTACACTGTTTCCATTTGGGAAATTTTAATTGTCGACAAAAATTGCATTTGAAACGATTTACATTTTGTATATCATCATGACAAATTGCATGCTGTTGCATTTTTTCACTGTTACTGAATTTATAAAGACAACCTCTGTATGTACATCTGTAATAATTATTTTTTATATTGTAAATATATTATTTATTCTATTCTATTGTCAATAAATTTACTCACTTTACTTTTCTCTCCTTTACATCAACATTTTTTTGTTGAACATTTTTCATTTTCTGCGATTTTAGTAATTTAGTTTCTGAACCTGATTCAACACTACCAACATTGTCATCGGTTAATAATTCTCTTGATTCCAAACTCGAATTACTCTCCGTACTTTGTCTTTTACCACTTCGATCAATCAATTCATGATCCTAAAAATTATTTACATTTAAAATATGAAATTTTTTTTAAAGAAAAACAAAAATACTTACATCTATCATATGCTTTTTGCATTCCTCTATGGTTGAAAAGCAAATAGAACACTCGCCACACATGTAAATCAATTTAACTTTATTCGTATCGTCAACAATTGTTGCTTCCTAAATTGCAATTAAAAGAAATTTAAATCATTAGTAACGATAATTACAACAAAAAAAAATCCTCCATTAAATATACAGATAATTATTACCTTTAACTCTTTATTCGGATTCACATGAATATTTTGCAAATGTGACAACAATTCTGATTTATCTTGTGAAGCAAAAGGACAAATTTTACACTTAAATGTTGTTACAACTTCAACAAAATCATGTTCATTTATTTCATTTTCCTCATTGACACATGAAACATGTTTTATTTGATTTGTAAAATTTTCATAACATTTCTCCTGATCGTGTAAATTTTCAGAAAATTCATTAAATGTTGTTTCATTTGCATTTTCTTCATTTGATATTGAAAGAGCATTATCACTATTATTATAATTTAAAAAATCTGTCTCATCTACATTTTGAAATTTATCATTTTTAAATGCATAAATTTGTCCTTCTATTGAAACTAATGAAATTGCTTCACCCTCTTTTTTCAAATCAATATCATCTAGTGAATCAATTTGACTATATTGTTCAGATTTTGATTCTTCAATTGTCAAAATATTATTCATTAGATCTGTCGATGTTTCTAAAGAATAATTGTCTGTATTTATATTGCAACTCCAATATGATTTTGTTGTTTTTAATTGTTCTTCACTCATAATAGAAAATTATTACGCACCCCAACTTAACCCTGTGTGTAAAGAGTTAAATTTATTTTTTGTTTCTAAAAATTAGATTTTTGAAAATAGACATAAAAACCTTTGATTTAAAAATAAGTGCAAAAAACTAACCTTAAATATGCTGAATATCCATAAAGTATTGTCTTCTATAAACGTGATTATATTTCACGTCATAAATAAATAAATGTATACATATTTTATAGAAATATGTAGTTTTCAATTATGTAAATATTTAAATTACACTCTAATTTCATTTAATTTAATAATTAAAGTTAATTGAAGAAATTAACACAAAGACGGTACAAAAATTGTGTTGACAATTCTAAATAATTTATAAATGCGAGTTCACACAGCACATACAAATGGGACAAGTTTTACTTGATTTTCATTGGTTACTACTTGCACAAATTAAGTTACAAGAGAATAAATATATCGTCTGCTAAAATGATGCTTCTGTAATATTTTTTAATTAAATCACAAAAGGTGATTAAAAATAATTGTAAAAGCATTAAAAATCATTTTAATAATGAAGGGAAAATTGTGATAAATTACTTATATTAAGTATATAGTGAAATTTTTTTATATAAAAATAATAACAAGATGGATAATATCGAATTGTTATTTTTTGACACCTTCTCTCATGACATTTCGGAAGTATGTATTTCTGTTTATACAAAAAATTTATAAATTTAATTGTATGTTAAATAATTTAAAAATTATTTTCTAATTACAGGAATTAAATTTAGATTTAGTTCAATTTCCAAAGCCAGTTTATATAAGTGAGGTTAGAATTATTCCATTAGGTGCTCGTGTTCAAGCCGATTTTCCCGGTGGCGTACGTCTCGGGTGAGTTCAATATTTTATTATAATATAGAAAAAACTTTTTCATATTTCATTGTTATAAAAAATTAATTTTAGAGCAACGAATCCATCACAATTTGAAATCGAATTTTTTGTGAATGATTTGAGTAAACCGGGAGCATCGACCTTTGAATCTTTAGGTGGCTTAGAATATAAACAAAATATTCACATACAATTGGAATGCGAACGAAAACAAATTCCCACTGATGGATTAGTTCTTCGCGGTTGGTACACGACAATAACATTAGCTGTTTATGGAAGTTTGACAAAGTCAATAAGCAATCCCCAGGAAGTACCAAGTGCTCCTCCAACTGCCACTGTCACCGTGGGAACTCCCGAGGAAAATTCAGTCAAGGAACCAACAATCCAACCCAAGGAACCCGAAGCTGAATGGTTTTATGAGAATCAAACACAAAATAATTCAACAGTAAGTTACAATAAAAAAAAAAAATTATGAAAAAAAAATTGAAATTAAAAAAAAATTTTACTTTTCACTAGGAATCGGCTGCAGTTGCAACACCACCGCCTCCAGCGCCTGTTGTAATTCCACCGGAACCAAAAAAAGCCCCAGTTGAACCTCCACAAAAACCAGAATCATGGAAAGAAGAAGAAACATTACACAAAAAACGACCAATATCACCGCCTTCCGAATCATTGATATCATTGAGTCCAGAATCAATTTCCGCCGAAGAAGAAGACGGTGATCATGAGGCAAAAGAATCAGGAGCCGTCGAACCATACGAACCAATTCTCTCCGATGAAGAGATGATCGATGATATTCCCTCTGCAATTGACTACGAGGCCGAAAGTCAAGCTCTCGATATTCTTCTTCTTCATCCACCGAATCTTCTTGATATTGAAAAAATTCCCCTCACATTCATTGAGGAACAAAAATTGGATAATCGAGCCATAGATAAATTACGCGAAACAATTGTTTCCCTATCAAAATCAGTTGGTAATTTTATCTCAGCATCAGGACAAGAAAAAGAAACATTTGTTCACAATTGTGAAACACTCTGTTTAACATTAAATTCCTTTACATTAACAACCGAAGATTTTCAAAATCTCACTGATATTTGTTCCGCTGGTCTCGATATTGAATTAGCAAGATCACAACCACAACCAGCTTATAAAGTACGTCACATTAAAGTTGGTGTTCGTTTAACAGAATCATTATGTCGATTAACAGAGGGGCCGAATATTTTATTAAAAATTAATGTACCACATAAACTTCTCACATTGTGTATGCGTGAAAATGTTGCACTTTCAGTGAAATTATCCGCAATTCGTGCACTCGATGCAGCACTAATTAGTCCTAAAATTGTTGAACAATTTCTTAAAATTGATAACGATTTATATAAACTATCATTAATGATGTTGGACGAGGCAAAACTTGTACGTCTCAAATATGCCCTAAGTTCTCTATTAAGAAAAATTCACGTCTATGAATTATTGTCCGAATTAAAAGAATTAAATGAAAATATAAAAAAAGAGGACAATGATCAAAAAAGCGAAACAAAAATAAGTGAAAACAATAAAACAGAGATAATAATAATTGAATTAAAAAATAGTTACGAATACGCGCCAACTTTAATGTCACAGCCAAAACGTCAACTTCCAGCAAGTGCACAAATGGAATTTGAAAGAGAACAAAATCGAAATCCAAGAAAACATTTAATAATCTATTATGCTCATCATCAATTATTGGAGAGACTTTTAATATTTCTTTGTTCATCGGATTCTAATCAGGAATTAATAAGAGTGACAAGAGAATTTCTACTCTGTATGTCAGAGAGTAAAGAGGGATTAATTTATATGTTAAAAGAGCCAAAAGTTGCGCAATCATTGTTAAAAATTTTTAAATACAATCAAAATGGAATTGGCGAGGAACTTGCTTGGCGTTTTCAAGTTGTTCAATGTTTAATGAATATGACTTGTCGAAAAAATGACGATTGGAATTCATTACGTAAACTTCATTCACTTCTTACATTCCCCCAAGGATTACAAGCAATTATTCACATTATTCCAATGGACAATTTTATTGATATTTTAATTCCATTTCTAAGCGATGAACATCTTTATGAATTTGCAAGTGAAATTATTTCAGCTGTCATTCGATATTCAGAACGTGTTGAAATTATTCATCATCGAGCTAAGGAATTAATTGAAAAGACGAGAAATCCCGTTTTAAGAGATGTTATGCCCTATTTGTCTATTGCCGCACAAGCTTCGAGGTTAGTAATTTTAAAAAAAAATTTAATATTGAAAAAAAAATTTACCTTTTCTGTTTTTTTTTCAGCTGGAACTATGGAGATGTTTCTTCACTAATTTCAATAATTAGAAAAAATTCCGAGAAAGCTGCATCTCTACCTGGAGATTTGATCACTGCCTTAAGAATTTTGCACTATTTGGTATTTCCATCGTCAAATGATGTTGATCCAATGGAACCGTATATTGAATTAAAGCATAGAAATGCATTGACACAACTTTTTGCCGCCGATGGTCTCAGTGCATTGGTATCCGTGATGTCGAACATTGCCGATTTTTATGAACAGCCATTTCTTCATCGTGCAACACTAACCGGAAAAAGATGTTTAGGATTGATATCTCTATTAATGCCAACAGTTAAACTCACCCGTGCATTACTCGAACGTCTTGTTAAGTGTATGGGAACTGATTTTAAAGATTTAACAGCAGTCGTTCCACTTCTTGGCGTTTATTCTCTAATTGAAGCAATACCATCAACTCAAACAATTCGTAATCTCTCCTCAGAAATTGTTGCAACACTTCTTATATTCACACGTGCCGTTGATTCAGATGGTTCGGGTAATGTTGCAAAATCACTTTGGACACAAATGCTTGGCGAAGTATTAAAAATGTTATCATTAAGTCCATCGAATTTTATTCCTGGATTAAAATTATTAACACGATTATTGCCATCAATTTTAACAGCAAAAGAAACATCATCCGATGATAAACCAAGAATTCTTGGTTTTCGAAAATTATGGTCCGCTCATCTTCAAGCGCAAGCAAATAATCTTATTGATACATTAAGATTATTGTGCTCAAGTTGGAATCAAGAATTATTAATTCTTGTTTCAAAAGTTTGTAAACAATTGAGCGATTTAGCAGCACCAACTGCATTACTCGTTGGTAGATGTTTACTCGATGGTATTTTAACTGCAAATCCCCTTGAGAATAATTTACCAATTCTTGGACTATTGGCAAATTTATCTCAACATGCGCCAATGAAAGCAACACTTCTCACATTAATGAATCCAGCATCACGTGCACAAGTTAAATCCGATCAAAAATATCCCCCTGTCATTGAAATGATGTGCTCTTCACTAAAGAATGCCACCGATAATCGTGTTCAACTTGAGATATTAAAAATTTTCGAAACTCTCTGCGATTCAACTATTAATTTTGTCGAAGAAGACACTAAAGAATCATTTGAAAATGTTCTCACACACTCTGTACCAAGTAAAGAGCCATTGCTCGTTATTCTTGCACCATTAATTGAAATTTTAGCAAGTGCCTCGAAATATCATTTAAATATCGTTAAAAGTGCTCTAAATATTCTCATTTCATTAACAAATCACAATTATGGTCTCTATCATGTAAAAAGTTGTTTAGAAAATAATCCCGAAGCATTGAGATCATTATTAGAATATATTGCAACTAAAAGTGAAATACAAACTGAAATACAAACCGATGAAACGGAGGAAAAAGAAGAAAATACAAAAATTAAAGAAGAAAAAGAAGAACAAGAATCCGATAAAGAGAAATTAGAAAAAGAAAGTGAAAAATTGAAAGAAACTGAAAAGAATAATGAAAATGAACAATGTGAAAAAGAAGAAATAAATTCCCTCTCTGAATTGACGGTAAATTTTTTGGAAAATTTAATCAATTCTAAATCAACAAAACGAACATTATGTCTACGTGTACAACAACTTTCATCTCTAGTCACGTGGGATAATAAAAATAATGGACATCCATTGGAAAAAATTCGTGGTACAAAAGAATTAATTGATGGATTAAAATCATTGGATGAGAAAGATGATAAGGAACCATTGCCAGAAATGTTGGAACCATTATTACCAGCGCCAGAAGCATTATTAAATCAATTTTCCCAACGTTCAATAGGAATTAATGATTTTAATGAAAAATCAAAAAAAATTCCTGTTATTGAAACAATTACTGGACAAAATGAAATTACAATTGATTTACTTGCATTAGCCGCTGAATTTTTGCCAGCTGATTTTAATCTTCTCACGGAAACACAAAGATTGTGTGCAAAAGCACCACCTGATGATGCAACTCATCTCAAGAGTCAAGCTGATGAGACAAGAGAAAATCAAAATAAACAAAATAATACTCCAATTCCAAAGATAAAACAACCTTTTGGTGAGTTTCATATATTCAATATAATTTTGTTTTTAGAAAATTTCGGCAACTGCTTTCAAAATTTCTTTTTCTTTTCTATTTTTCCTATACGTTTTTTTTTCATGAAATTTATTAAAGTAGTTTATATTTTTTTTTCTAGAAACTAATATCGGAAAATAGAAACTAATATTGATTTTGATAAATATTTTTTAACTCTTCTATTTGGTAAAATACAGGGAAAAATAATTCTAAATTTTTATTAGTTAGTTAAAAAAAAAAGAAATGACAAAATTTTTTATCACTTATCTGCTTTTAACTGATTGAATTTGATTTTATATAATTAAAAAAATGCTCAATAATATCAATTAAAATAATTATTTTCTAAGATTTTTTTTTTTTTTTGTCAAAAGTGTTTGTATCTCTCTGTCTGTCTACTACTTCTATTTTTTCTCTCTTTCTCTCTGTGATTTCATTAATTTGAAATTGTGAAAAATTAAATTCATTTGTATCATGTTCGAAGACATTATTTACTATTTACAGTTGTAGAATCCAAGACGATTGTTACAGCTATACGAGAAATGTATTCGAAAAAACAGTCAAACACTTTATTTAAAAGACAGAAATTTAATCGAAAATCAGGTACTGGGATTGTAATTTGAGTGGTAGTTTTTTTTTCTTTTTTTTTTCATTGACGTTATTAAGTTTTTTACGTATTTTTTTCCAATTAATAATAATAATGAGTTGTGATACACTGAAAATTTCAGCACCTATACGTTTTAATTCACGGATTTTAAATAATTATAAAAAAAATTTTATTCAATAAAATTTGTGGAGAATTTAGAATTGCTACAGTGATGAAAAATTTTAGAAATCTTATGAATAAAGGAATTAAACTGCAAATTTGATTTAAAATAAATAAAATCATTGGGATTTTTTGAAACCATAGCAATTCTACATTATTTTTCTACGCACGTTTGAAAAAATTACAGTGATCACAGATTTATTTTTTTTTTTTTTGTGTAATTCAAAAATATTCTAAATAACAGTATAAATTGAAATTTTCTTTTTTTTTTGTTATTTAATAAAAAAAAAAAGATGTAAAAAACTTACTTTTATTTTCACAGTGTCGCACATGAGGGGACGAACACAATTCGCAAATTCAATGAGGGGAAATCCAGTTGGAAGTGGTGCTGGCAGAGGTGTTGATCCATTTAGATCGAGACCACCAAACACTTCGAGACCACCTTCATTGCATGTCGATGATTTTGTTGCATTGGAAACATGCGGTGCACAACCAACTGGACCAACAGGTTACAATAAGCTCAGTATTCGTGGTACCGGCTCTCAACGTGGTGTCATGTCTGGATCACGTGGTCGACCCTGGGTTCCTGAACCTCGACCTTATCTTCGATAATAATTTATTTATTTTTTTTTTTTTTGACAATGAAATTAAAATTAAAAAACTGCTCTTAAAAAAAAAGCAAAGAGCATGTTTCAAATTGTTTAACGAATTGTGTATATTTGTAGATTTGTTACAACTGTTGTGAAATATAATAGAATTGAAAATTATTTACAAGTTTTGAAAAAAATTTTTTTTTTTAACCTTACCTTTGAATAGAAAATATTTCTTAACGAAGATAAATTAATTAACTTCTGATAATTCATACACTCTTTTGTCATGTCCAAACATTTTTTTCAATTTTTCCAAACGCAATTTAAACTTGGTGTAATCAATTTTAAACCTGTCCAGGTCCTTTGTTATTGACCACTGAAAATAATTATTATTATTATTCCAAAAATTTAATACTATTTTTCTTTAATATAAATGTGAAAAAAAATACCTCCCCATCAATTGCTTCCGCTGCTGATATTTTGAGTTTTTCTAACATATGATAAATTTGGTCACTAGGTCTAACTTTTTGTTTCATCATTGATTCAATCAACTCTATTACATAATTCAAATCCATTTTAATACACGCCATGCGTATTAATGTACCATAAATGTAATAATTAGCATTAATACCAATATTATCGAGACAATTTAACAATGCCATGCCATCTTCTTTACATTGACAAGTGAGAGCAACTATTCCCCAAGTAATAATATCCGGCTCGCAATTATCTCGTTCCATTTCAGCAAGTACTGCCTATTAAATTTTTATTTTAATTTTATTTTTATTTAAAATAACAAAAAAAAAAAAAGAAATATTTACCTTTGCATCCTCGTAATCAAATCTAAAACATCTTTTTTTTATCAATACATTATAAAATCCAGTGTCGAGTTGAATTTTTCTATTACGCGCCATACGAATTAAATGCTCCTCGGCCTCTTTTGTATTTGGAATTAATTCCAAACAAAGTGAAAATGTTTTTACATTTGGAATAGCACCATCGTCATTCATTCGTTTCATAAGACCATCAAAGCCACCAAAGAGAATTAAACGATTACTCTTTAAAACATCATTTAAATCAATTGTAGTTTGCATTGATTCTTGTTCTTCAATCTCATATTTCTTATGTCTCTTGTGTTTAAATTTTTCACTTTGAAGTTGTGGAAGTAAACGAACAACAGGTGGTGTTGCCAATAAATCGGGTCTACCACCTTCAGTTACAATAATTTTACTACCCTCCTCTGATTCTGGTATTATAATATCGTTAACTTTTAAATTTCCCAATTTACTATCTCTTATTGCACGAAATAAAAGATTATACGTTAATGTTGTTGGTTTAATATTACGAAATTTCATTACATGCCAAGCGACAAGGGCATATTTTAATCCTGTTTCCTTTTGTGATGCCGCGCCATGAAGTAAATTATTAAATGTAATATCATCAATACGTAAATTTTTATCACGCATTTCGTCTAATAATTGAAATGTTTCCTCAACAAGACAATGTCGTGAATAAGCTTTTATTAAAGCATTATAATGTGTTTCGTTCATTGTAAATTTCTTCTCAAACAAATAACTAAAAATGAAAAAATTAAAACAAGTTATTTTCTTTTTCAAAATTAAAAAATTCATTAATATTACCTTCTAAAATCATGTAAAATCTCCAATGATCTTTCGTCCAATGAATTAGAACAAGCATTAAATAAACTTGTAACAACAGCATTATTTGGTGTCATTCCACGTTTTTTTAATTTATTATAAAGCCTAAAACATTTTTTAACATTACCCTGAACGGCAAATGCTCTTATTAATAATGAATACATATATAATGTTGGTTTATCACGATTATTATGTATAATTTTTAATACATTCTCAGCAGATGATAAATCACCGTTTTCAATATGTTTTTTTATCATATTCGAATATTGACCCGGTGTACGTCTATATTTTCCCATTGGTTTTGCCTCATTTTCTTCAAATTCTTCAACATTTTTTTCCGCTTCATCCAATTCAACAAGATCATATTTTTTCTCACCAACATCACCAAAAATATCAGGATCTTTTGGTAAAATATTACTGCAAAAAGTTCTTTTGTTATTGAAAAATTCATTTGATGACGAAATTGAGGTTATGTTCGCAAATAAACAATGTTTCACTGTTTTTTTATTGTTTTCAGTAGAAATTATTAACGTTCTCATTTGTCGATGATTTAAAACATATTCTTTTCTATTTCTACAATTATTTACAACTAAATTATTCAATCGAATTGACATTTTATTGATTTTTAATGAAAACATTATTGCGGTAAATTCTCAAACGCGTCGCACTATAAAACTTTGTATTTTGACACACTGTCAGTAAAAATATTTAATTTTTCAATCATCTGTAGATTGTTAATATATTGTTAAAAACATTTGTTTAAAAATTAAGTCATCGTGAAAAGTTTATAAATGAAATTAAAGTTTTGTTGGTTAAAATTGATACACAACGTGTTTATCAGCTGATTAGCAGTATAGCCAATAGTGAATATTTATTTTTCTCTTTTACTTTTGTTAATTTTTTTTTTCCATTTCTTTAAAAATAAATAAATACCACACTAAATTAAGAAATTTTTCGACAAAATTTAAAAAAGTACAAAAGTTATTTTTCTCCTCGTGAGAAAAAAATAAACATACCGGTTAAATTTAATATTGGTAACACTGCTGAAATTTAAAAAATAATTAATGGCGGCGAATTCAAAAAAACGAACTTAATTTTCTGTGAAAAAAAATGTATATAATTTTTAAAAAAGTGTAAAATATAACAACTTGAAATATTATTTCAATATTTTATATGAATATATTTACATTTTTTACATGACCTTATGCACTTCATTGCAACAGGAAATAATACAGCTGACAAAATTGGTAAGTACGTTAAACATACAAGTGTATAAATATAAATTCACTTTATACGTGATGGTTTTCTCTGCATTGATTTAAAAAAAAAAAAAAAAAAAAAAATTAACCTTCATCAATGCAGAAATGACAAAAACAAAAGTCTTCTTTGTTTGCAAAACATTCAAAAAAAATTCATTATAATATTGATAACTCTTCAATGATAATAATCTCCTTTCCATGGACGTAAAAAAAAACAATCAACTCCAAAAACGATCGACATAAAATAAAGAAATAAATATTTGAGATCTCGATTACCATTATTATCATCATAATCATTTAACAACTTTAAAGCTGCCAAGTTTCTTTAATTTCCAAAAAAAAAAAAAAAAAAAAAATAATGAAATAATATTCATTATTCACGTCGCTTTTCGTCGTAGAAGAACTATACTATTATATAATTTAATAGCGGGTCCAAGTCGAAGACCAAGTAAACTCATTAAATCTTCTTGAGTTAACATTAAAAACGCTTCACCGTCAATGTTCTACAAAAAAAATAATTTAATTAATTAGAATTGAATAATTTTAATAAAATAAAATTAGAAATAAAATTATTTAAAAAAAACTTACATGTTTCCTGAAGATAGTCCCAATTTCTTTACAATTAGGCAAACTTTGTATAAACTTAATGACTTCCTCGTTTGACCAACGTCGAGGATTTCCTGTTTGTTTAGCCACAACTCTATTCAAAGCACCACTGTGTTTTGCCCAAATATGTGGCTCATCCGGTAATGGATTATAACCAGGATTATAAACCGAATGATATAATTCCATTCTCAATTGTTTATCAGCGGAATTTTGTGAATTATTGAGAGAGGAATCACCACCAAATGATAAATTCGAGCGGGGAAATATTGGTTCTTCGGAAATATTTCGTCTAAAAGAAAAAAAAAAGAGAAAATTAAAACAAAATTTAATAACAAAAAAATTTTAATATATATATTTTTTTTTACCTTTTCTTACGCTTCTTTGCTGGTTCATCGTCATCGGTTTGACCATCACTGTTCATTTGTTTAGATTTGATAGATCTAAAAAAAATAATTCCTAATTAAATTCCTATATCAGAATAAACTTTTTTTTAAAAAAAAATTATTTAATAAATAAAAATTTCCCTATGATTTTATTTTAACAATTACCTTTGAGAGGAATCGAATTTTTCACTCTTATCAGAATCAACTTCTTCTTTTAATTTCAATTTAAAATTAAATGGTTTACGATCTTCCAATATGTATTTTTCAAATTTATCCGATTTCTCTATTTTAATTTTATCAGTCTTTTCAACTTTTGGTTTCTCAACAATTTCCTCTTCATATTCACAAGCATCATGCTTTCCACTTAATCTGTCGGAGACTATTCTTATTTTTGGCAAATTTTGCGTTGAATATGGACAGCCAGATGGAGAATTGTGAGAGACAAATTTTGGACCTTTAATATGTCCAATACCTCGACATCCATGAATACCGCATTCAGAACGATCGTTCCCAATTTCGGGTACTGTAACGAGGCAAAAGAAAACATTCATTATTTACTAAAATTTTAATTAATTTAATTAATTCTTTTTAAAAATTTGAACTTACTAATGGGCGGTTCCAATGGATGTCCAGTTTTCTGGCACCATCCAACTGGATGAATATCTGTTGAATCATCATCAACCCAATAAGCGTGATTTTCAGGCCATCCATCGAAACGAATTTTCAACATATGATCTTTTACATCTTCGACAGTTGCCACACGAATCAATTGTGGTACTCGTTTGTCAACAGCTTCCAATCTCATGCCACGTCTAAATCCACAAGGTGGCCTTTGTTTAAAAGCTCGCGCCGGTGCCGCGACAGTTTGTGTTTCTCTTAAATAAGCCTCCCACGTAAAAGATTTCGGATCTTTGTAACCTGAGAGTTTATTTTTTTTAATTATATTCATATTTTGTAATAAATTATTTTTAAATTCAGAGTAAAAAAAAATAATACTCCAATCACTTACTTTTCGGTATTAATTTATAGATTTTTGTGAAAATTTTACCGAAGAAACACAATCATACTCTTCTAATTAATCTGTTAAAAATCGGCGAAAGCAAAATAACATAAAATTTTACATTTATAACACATATAAAAATTCATCAATAAAAAGTAAAAAAAAAAAAATTTTCACTTACATTCAACTTTCAAACACGAGGAAATGTTTTTTGAAAAAAAGCCAAAACATTTTTTCTTCAGATATTTTCACTTACACTCATAAGATAAAAATATACATTCAACTTTCACACACGAGGAGATAATTAAAAAAAAAATCTCACTAAAATCAACATGACAATGTGATAAAACAAAATTAAAAATATCACTTTTTGTTAATTAAAAGAAAGAAGATTCACTCTTCTCAAAATTAAAAAATGTTTAAAAAAAAAATGACGTGCGAAAATATTTATAAAAGAAATAAAAATTTGCTACTCACTATTTGGAGGTGTCAAACTGTGTCCATTGTGATGGCACCATCCAACAGGATGAATATAAGGCGAACTGGCGTCAGCCCAGTAATCATAAACTTCGTCCCACGAATCAAAATGAACAAGAATACGTGAATCCATTAGTCCTCCAATACTCGCAACACAAACCAATGACGAGTGCTTTCTATCAACTGCTTCCAATTTCATTCCCACACGGAATCCAGTTGGAAAAATGGACTAATAAAAAAAAATTTAATTAATTAATAAATAAATAAAATATTTATATTTTATTTTATATAATTTATATTAAATATTTATATTTTATTTTATATAATTTATATTAAATATTTTCTTTTACTCACATTTTTATTTGAGAATATTGTTTTTGGTGCTGCGCTTGCTTTACAAGTTTTAAGATATGCATTCCAATTAAAATTATTGGCAACATATCCTTTTGGTGGGTCCAAACGATGATTATTTTTCTCCGACCAACCAAAGGGAAATATATCCATACTATCAGCATTTACCCAAAAATCATAACTTTCAGTGTATCCATCAAAATGTAATCGTAAACGGTAACCTTAATTAAAATTAAACATTAAATTAGCATATTAGAAAAAAAAATTAAACACTATTTAAAGTTAAATTAAAAAAAAAATAACTTACCAACTATTTCGACAACAGTAAGAACGCAATAACGTGAAGGATGTTCAGGATCAATTCCCTCTAATTTCATGCCAACTTTAAATTGATTTTTAGCATATGGGAATGCATCTTTAAATAATTTTGTAGGCGCAGCTTTAGCTTTACAATGTTCAAGATATTTTGCCCATGAAAATCCTTGTTTTCCAAACAGCCATGGATACTAAAAGAAACAATTTTTATTAAAACAAAATTAAAAATATAAAAAAACAAATTGTAAATAAATTTAATTAATTTTTTTAAATTCCAACCTTAGATTCATTTGCATCAGCTTGACTTTCTTCATCAATATTAGAAGTATCTTTTGAATCCTCATCTGATTCAGTCACTGATGATTTAGTCGATGATTTTGTTGATGATTTAGCCGACGATATTGTTGACGATTTAATCGACGTTAATGATGATGATTTTGTTGATGATTTAGTTGAAGATGTTGTTGATAATTTACTCGACGATATTGTTGATGATTTTGTTTGAGCTTTTTCATTAATTTTTTCATCATTTTTTTGTTTTTGTTGTTCATGTAGAAGTGATTTTCTTTTTTTCTTCGCTCGCATCTCTCTATTGAAAAAAGATATATATATATAAAATTTACATTTAATGCAAGCAAATGTTTGTTATAAAAAATAAAAATAAAAATTTAAATAAAATACATACTTTAAATCTTTTTCTTTACGTTTCATCAGTTCTTTTTTTGCTTCTATAATTTCTGTGCAACAGGGACTGCAAGATATGGGACTTTCAAATTCAGCTGCCAAACCATAACATCCACAACTTTGACAACAATAAAATGTGTCTGTATTGGCAGGACGCTTTTTCTTTTCCTCTTCTATAAAAAGAAAAAAAAGATTGATTTCATTTTAATCTTAATTAAATAATTTTTTAATTAAAAATTTGGTCTATTTTCTTTTTTATTTTAAAAAGAAGCAAAAATTGAAAAAAAAACTTACTCTTCTTTTCAGTAGCCGCAACCGAAGGAGAAGATTTTGATGATGATTTTTGTGATAAAAACACATTCTCTTTATCACCAGCACCATTTTCCTTATCTTGTTTATTATGTTCGTCTTCATCTACCACTTCCATCAATCCAAATTCATTGACGCGAAACTGAAAAATAGTTTTGAAAAATAAACTTCTTATTCACATTTATAAATTAATTACTAGTTAATTGTAAAAAAAAGGAAGGAATTAAAATAATTTAATTAAAAAATAAATTACCTTTAAACTGCTACCGGGAAGAGATCCAACTCCATCTTTCCATTCTAAAGCTTTAGCAGCATCAAAATTCAAATCAGTTGGAATTGAATTCAAATCATCTACACTTTCTTCTTTCTTTAAAACTGATTCAATTTTATTCTCCACAATTGATTTCTCATTGTTTTGTGTTGTTTTAACCAATTCAATTTTAATATCATCATCTGACGTTGATTTCACTTTTGTCGATTTCTCATCATTTGGAACAACTTTAATTAATGTTATATCATCATCATTGTTTTCTGTTTTTTTCTTCTCTTTTTCATGTTCCGAATTATCGGGACTATTTACAGAATAACTTATTTCCACTTCGGGATTAGTTTTTGGAAATATTTGCTTTTTCATTCTTTTTTCACCAGAACCACGAAGAATATTGCTTATTGTTTTCTTTCTTTTTTCTGGTTGTTGATTGATTTCGTCTTTTTTATTTGGAATAGGTGTTATAACAGCAGAATCAGGATTTTCAGTAATTTTTATACCATCAGCGTGTTGCTCTTGTCTTCCTGATTTTCCCAAAAGTGTGATATTTGTAATGGGATGCAATGGTGGTGGATGTGCTGTTGAATTTGTTGTTTTTGATTCTCGTAAAACTGTAAAAAAAATTAGTTTAGTTTTTTTTTCTACTTAATTTCAAATTTTTATTATTTAAATTTTATTTACCAGTTATTGCGCCTTTATTATCACCAGTAACTTGACCATTTGTGATTTTCACGTGATTCATCATACTTGACTTTGTCGAAGTTTGTTGTGGAATGTTAACGGGCAAAAGAAGATTCGTCATGTGCTTATTTAAACGACTTTGAGTTGCAATAGTGGTTGTTGTTGGAGTTGGTGCTAATTGTGATAAAACTGGTGTTATAACCAGTTTTGGTTTATTAACTTGTGCTGTTGTTATTCCGCCTACTTTTTTCAAAAAAAAAGAAAGAAAAACAAAAATTAATATTCATAAACATGCCAAAAAAAAACTTCTTTTTTTTATATATATTTAAATGAAAAGTAGAATTAAAAAAAGAATATTATTAACTGTATTGAACTGGTGATCGATTGTCGTCCGCCCCGGCCGAAATGACAACAGAATCTCGATTCTTATTTGATTTAATAATTGTTCCGAGGTAAGCGAAAGAGTGCTTTCCTGCATGAGCATTAGTCTGATTTCCCTGAGATGGATTCAGAGGAACGATTTGAGCAGTTGGTGTGTTCGTTTGACGAACCAATATACGATTCTGACCTGAATTATTAGTTGTCGTGCCGACTGAATTTAACGATCGATGAATAAGTATGCGTTGTTTTTGTGAATTGGACACTTGACTAGGTCCCTGAAAATAAAGTTTATTTTGTCCAGTAACAATCTGTAACAGAAAAATTCAATTAAAATTATTAACAAAAACTCAAACTATATAACAATAATAAACGTAAACTAATTTTATAATTAAAACCAATTTTAATAATTTACTTTTTTTTCAAACTTTTCAACTTTAATTAACAACAACAAAAAATAAAATAGAATATTGGAGTAAAACTAAAAATTATTAGAAAAATATATTTTAACACAAAAATAGAAACAAATTATCCAAAAGAAATTAAAATTCCTAAGTAAAAATAAATACAGATGTCATGATAAAAATTTACGTTTTAATAAAAAAAATTTACAATATTTTCATAAAACTTGCACCTTGCACCACAACGCGACCAAGTGAAACGAGAGATAAGTCAAATGATTATATTACAAAAAAGAAAAAAAAACCGACAATATAAGTTTATTATTAACATGTGAAACAATGTTTTATTATTAACAAATAATAAAAAAAAAGTTTCAAGAAAATAATTTTTTACATTTTAAACAAATAAAAAAAAAGACATTATTTTTTAAAAATTCTTAATTCTGTTTATTCACGTTTATGCAACTACGTAGAAAATTGGGTTAAAACTACTTGAAATGAATAAGAATGTCACGTCCGCTGCGTGTTTTAATAAGAAAAAACCAATTGTAAAATATACCGAGAATTATTTACAATAATTGTAAATAATTTATTTGTTCGTTATTATTGTTTTTTTTTTCAAAGTATATAATTAATTGAATCCCTACCTCTCTACATCTTTATACAAGTTGGAAACGTGAATCTGCCAACACAAATCTATACAATCTATATTTAATATATGAAAGAGATGCACCACTCACTGCTACCAACACTCACACAAAAATTAATAGGGCTTCAAGGACTGAGCACGTGTTCTCCCGAGTTAAAAAACCATTTTCCGACCAAAGATTACTTTCACTGTTGCTTTTACAATTAAAAACAAATTCAATTGCTTTATGTTCAAGACAAAAGGAGGTTAAATTACATTTTAAAGTCATTATAAACCCATTTAATATTAACACTAATATTAATTTTATTACTATTATTATTTTTCACACAAAAAAAAAGGTTTATAATATTTATATTCACTTTACAGACGCATTTCATGAAAATGGACGTCAAGTTTCTCGTTTTATTCTCAAGGTGAAAAGACAAGAATTTTTTTTCTCTTTTATTGATTATTCAAAGTGTATAAGTTATCTTATCAAAGTTTGTAAATATTTGTTTTTTTTTTTCAAAATTCTAAACTGACAAAAATTAATAAATAAAAAAATAACAATAAAAAGAAAAAATAGCTAAAATTTGAAATTTATTCTTTATATTGATTTTAGAAGCGCAGGCAAAAAGAGAGAGAAATTTTTTTTTTTTTAAATTTAACTCACCTGATTATTAACAGGATTTATATATGCCGTCAATTGTGAAGCAGAAGGTGAAACAACAGTTTGATGTTCCGTTGTTGTTTGTCCAGGTCGAAGTTTTCCATGTGGAATAAACAATGTTTTTGGCATGAGACGAGGAGATGATGTTCCAGCTGGTTTATTGTCGATATGCTCATCGACATCTTCCACAATTATTTCATCCTCATCCATCCTAGCGATGGATATCATTTTTTTCCTCATTGTTAAAAAATAATTGATCTATTTCTCATCTACAATAAATCTTGCCCTAAATAAAACATCAAAAGAAAAACTTCACTTCCATGGAAATTTGAAAAAAAAATCACTTTTTTTAAGAACATAATTATAAAATAAAAAAAAAACAAATGTTAAATAAAAATCACAATAGTAAATATAAACAAAGAATTAAAAAGTTATTTACAAATTATAATAAAACTTTCAAGTTTTTAATTGGATCGGTAATAGAGAATTTACAAAATACTCATCAACTATTTAAAAAATCATTTTTATTTTTAATCTAACTTCAAAAACAGAAGATTAATTTTAATTTTCACACTTATTTAATTAACTTTAAATAGAAAAAAATTAATTTTCGAAAAAAAGAACATTCGAAGTTCGCGCCAAACAAATCACAACGAGTTGATGAAATTTTTCGGCACTTTCGAGGTTCATCGCGAACACGACAAAAAATTGATATTTATGTTTTAAAAAAACTATTTTAATATAAATCAGTAACTGTAAGATTAATTTGTTTAACATTTGATTTTAAGATTTAATATTAAAAAGTTTCTTACACGATGCGATAAACTTATAATACGGCGAGTACAACACTGTGGAAAGGAGACAATTTACGTTCTATCTTATCAAAGATGTAAAGTACTCAAACTTGTGAGTTATTATTCGATATTTAGATACACATATTCCTTAGGTATTTACTGCATAAATTTCACTTTTAAAAATACACAAAGAACTGTAATATTTTTTAACAAAAATTCACACCCGTCATTTGAGCATTTTTTTTCGAGTAAAAAAAACTACACACGTTGTAGTTCCACAGTCTTTCGTTAGGGGGTGAAAAACAACGAGGAGACGAAATAGAAAGCTGATTGGTTAATGAAAATGTACCACGTGATACAATACAAATGTCAACCAATGAGAAAATTGCTAGAACGTTTTTTCCAAATAAACCGGAAGTAATAGTTTGAAATCATTAAATTTTGTTTGCAATTTTTCGATATAAGACATTTGTTCTTGATTTTTATTAACATGATATATTTTTTAATTATATAATGCATTATTTGTGATTAGAAAAAAATAGTTTTATTCGCTTATTAATATCACCCGTTCAGTAACTTTTGATTTCAACGAACCTAACCTTCGTTATTATTTTTCGCGCTCAATTCAAATTTCAGAATTTAATAAAATTAACAATTGTTCAAAAAAGCAATTTCTTTGTAAATTTTTATTGTCACATATAAATATAAACAATAAATTTTAATAAAAGAGACATTAAAAAGTCGTATTTTTAATAGATACAATTTTTTAATGTATTTAAAAATGGGGAATAAAAAAATCGATAATGGAATTCGAAGATCAGAAAGGGAGGGGAAGGAAGTGATAGAAGAAATAAAATAAACAAGGAACGATGAATAGAACCTTGATTTTCTATCAAAGTATTGACCAATTGGAATTAAACGCAACAAATGTAATGACATTTTGCGCAATAATTGGTTCATTTCGAGTCATTCCGCTATGGAAAACGAACTTTCTTAAAAACAATTTTTAACAAACTTTTATAAATTAACATTAATTATTTCTAGGGACCAACTAATAGATTAGATTTTAATTTCTTTTTTGTTTAAATTGAAAAATATTTAGCTAAAGACACTAAATTGTCGTTTATGAACATACCGGAAAAATCGCTAACCTCCAAAATAAAGGATGTTGAGGGAAGCTGTGTGGTACAAGATTTTTATCGATTATTAAAAATATTAAAATTCAATTGTTCGTATAAATATTGGCCAAAATTATTGATTAGCCATATGAAAATAAAAGTCAAATTTACATGTTATTATAATATTTTGTAAACTATTGTAAAATATTGTAAAATATTTCACCGACAAAAAATGGTTTTGTTTCCACTACCTTGGGATAAAGTACCTGACACTTAGCATCAAATTTATGTTGTTATATATTAATAATACTTTAAATGATTATATTTACAAAATTAGATTAAAAACATTTTTTACCGATAATAATGATTAAAATCAAATTTTATATCTTAAAATTAATGAAAAATGTAACAAAAAAAAAAGTAAAATAATTTGATGTCATTCTCATGTCATGCATGTAGTTTAAAAGTATACATTTACAAAATTTTTAAAAATGTTTCAATAATAAAAAAAAAACATTTATTGTCATGCATACAATAATTATCAAATGAAATTAAAAAATATCAACAATAAATATAATTAATTTACCAAAAAATTTGTTTACGATAATTTTTTACAATAATACATGTACTTTACAGCAGACTACAGAAAATTGTAAGCCTAACGAATATTGAATGAAATTTTTTTCTAAACTATTGAAAGAAAATTCAATTTTCTTTCTTAATTTTTTTTAATTTTAATTTAATAAAATCTTCTGCATTTAATATTACATTTTTCCATAGATACTAATTAATTAAAGTATAAAAAATAATGTTATTAAAAACTCACGTTTCAAAGTTTGTCAGTCGCCATCACATGAGATAGGAAATGAAGATTTTTCTCAGTTCACAGTGCGCATGTTTACTTAAGACTTGTTCACAGTCATGCGCTTTGCAACCTGAAAAATGCAAAAAAGTATTAGAAAATTCAAAAATTTAATTGTTATTATTTACAAGTGTTTCAAATGAAAGATTTAAAAAATATTTTCCAAACATTTTTGTTTATAATTTGTAAAGTTTGTGGTTTTTATATAATTGCGATTAACTTCAGAATGCTCCAATTTTTCTTTTCAAATTAAAGCAATTTTTTAATTAAATTTGATAATTTGTTTTCTGTTATTTTTGATTTTTAGTAAATTTGTTTGATTAATTGTCAAGAAATTGAAAAATTAACTTAAAGTATTAAAGACTTTGAGTTGAGTATAAAAATTATAAAAAATAATATACTTTTTGTTTTAAAGTTACCTGTAAACAATGTAAATACGCATGCGCACAATGAATTAAAAGTAACGTATCAATTTCTAAAGGTGCCCCATTATAATTAAATTTTTTTAAAAAATTCATTATTGTAATTAATGTCATCTTTTATCAGCCAAAAAAACTTAAGAAAACAATTTTGCTTATATAATTTTACTAACTAATTTATATAAACAAAGCTTAGTAATGTTTAAATTACATTTGCGTTGTTAATTTTTCAATCATTGCGCACAATGGCGTAGAACATTGGTAACACCAAACATTTCAGTTTTAGTGTCACTTGACATATATATCAGCTGATGCACTTGATGCACTTTTCTTTTATCAAAAATATTCATATTTATAGACTCTTTTAAAGTGTCTGCATGTCATAATTCATAATTTGTATTGTGACAACATTTCAAAGGAATATTCCCAGCGGAATGTTAATTTTTTTGTTCATTACTCAAAGTGTTGTCAAACATCAGTCTCAATTTCATCGACTCCATTGTCCTTTATAATTATATTAAATTTTGGCCTGGTAAGAAAGTTATTTTTACATTTATCTAATTTAAGCAAATTAAATTCAGTAACATTCAAAACTTGAAATTCAAGCCGCGAAGTGTCAATTTCATTACTTGTTTCTTTAATCGTAAAACGAAATTTAATCACGTTTTTATATTAAGAAAAAAAAAAAAAAAAAAAAAAATAGTCAATAAAATGTATAGAGGACTATATATGTTCAATAAATTTGAAACGAAACACTAGTCTTATTAAATTGGTTTTTTAATTAAAAATATATATTTTCACAGTGAAATAATTGTTATTGTGTGGGTATTTTTTTTAAATGCGTATTTGTTTTGTTGTTGTAAAAGATTGTTTTCATTATAATTGAAGACTTTGAACTGATATTATTTTCACCTTTATTTGCTGCACATTTAAATGTGACGCCATATTTTATTGATATTGAATATTTTCTCATGATCAATAATTAATATTTTTAAAATTGATCTTTTCTTCTCATTGTTTCGATTTTTTTCATTTTGGTATGTTTATTTTTTTTTCACTATTATAATGATGATGTAATATTTATGTTAAATTTTGTTTTTGTTTACAGTCGAATATTTACAAACAATATGGGGGGTGCTGTGAGCAGTGGTCAAGATAACGATGAATTGGTTGATAATTTAATTGAATCAGGCTATATGAGAACAAAAGCAGTTGAAAAAGTATTCAGAGCAATTGACAGAGCTGATTATTTTTTATCATCACATCGCGAAAGCGCCTATAAAGATTTAGCCTGGAAACATGGCAATATACATTTATCAGCACCTTGTGTTTACAGTGAAGTTATGGAGGGTCTTTCTCTAAAACCTGGACTCAGTTTTCTTAATTTAGGCTCCGGAACCGGTTATCTTAGCACAATGGCCGGTCTTATTCTAAGTAAAAAAAAAAAAAGAATACTTTAAAATTAATTTCATTGAAAATTTGATTTAAAATTAATTTTTTTTTAAATGAATTTCATTAAATAATTGCAGCTCAAAGTGGTATTAATCATGGAATCGAATTACATGAGGATTGCTTAAAATATGCATACGACAGAATGGAGGAATTCAAACAGAAATCATTAGCTATAGACGAATTTGATTTTTGTGAACCTCGTTTTATAAAAGGTAGAAAAACAATTATTTGATATTTAAATTTTCAAATTGAAAAATCTTTTTTTTATTAAAAAACAATTTTTAAAATTAATTTATTTTAAGAAAAATAAAAAAATGTGATTTTTTTGCAGGAAATTGTTTGAGCCTGGTACCTGGCAGAAGATATGATCGAGTTTATTGTGGTGCAACGTGTCCTGAGTCACATGAAGCATTTATTAAACAATTAGTGAAAGTTGGTGGAATTTTGGTAATGCCATACAAGGACCATTTACTACGAGTCGAAAGGACTGACGAGAATACATGGATTAATAAAACAATGTTGCCAGTTTCATTTGCCACATTAGTTGTACCAAGTTCCGGTGAACAGAATTTAATTCACTTACGTGAGTGTCCGTTTATTAAATTTCTCCATTTATTCGATAAATTTAATTAATCTAAATAAAAAACTATTTTAAATTATTTTTTATTTCAGCCGAATGTGATCCATTGTCCCTACAAGAATTGTGTCGTCTAAGAATAAGACGTAGATTAAGAAAAATTGTTTGGTTAGAGCATGCGGATTTGGAATTTAAAAAACCAATTCTCGCTGAACGTCGACGAACACCATCGTCATCGGCAAGAACATTGCGTCGTTTTGTTATTCCAATATTCGAAGAATCTGATGAAAGTTTACCCGATGAAGATGACGATTACACAGGTAGAACTCGTCTCTTGTTAAATGTCGATGCTCATTCAGGTGAGGCAATTACAACGACATTGCAATTGGTGCGCGCTGTCATACAACCAAACAGAGGAGATGAGAATCAAGCAAACGACGAAGAAACACAAGCGACAAATACCAACAATAGAACTAGTCATCAAAGTAGCTTCGAATCAGTTGATAGTACAACAAGTAGTAATAGTACTGAGATACAAAGCAATCATGAGGGCAAACAATTTCCCAGTACGGAAATCTATCAGATTTCAGACAGTAGTACAAGTTCAGATTCAGTGTGTGATAAAATTGATGATGATGACGATGATACTACAACAAGCAATAAGACGACAACTGATAATTGTAACGAGAGAATATCTCGACGTGAATCAAATATTGAATCATATTTAAGTATGAGCGAGAGCGATAGTGATCAGGAACAAGATTATACAATTAAACAGAGGAAAAAAATTGCGAAACGTGAAAAAATTGATAATAATGGAATTATCGATGATTTTCGTGCAATTAGCGATGATAATACAAGTTCGAGTTCAAATAATACACATCCATCCAATTCGGAAGTTGTCGAAACAATGGATTATCAAACGTATGATATATTTCGTGATAATACAACGTATCCACTTTATCGGCCAATGCACAATCGAGAACAGAGACTTGGTAACCCACTTGATCCAAGTATGGGACATTATGTTGATTCTAATGCATTTTCATCTTATTTAAAGGAAAAAATACATCAACTGCCTCTGCCTCATGCACTCAAATTATATTTAAACTATAATCGAAATCTATAAACAAGTGGTAAAAAAAAATTTCATTTTCTTTTCTCATTGCACAAATTTTTGGAAAATCTTTTTGATTCTTTTCAATATAATTCAAAAGTATCTTTTAGATTATAACTGTGCATATTTTCATTGTTTGTACAATTTGTAAATTTTTTTTCGTTTTATTTTCAAATTTATTTTGTTTGTACAATATTGAAAAATTTCATTTCTTGTTGAATTTAAAAAAGAAATTTTATTTAAGAATTTTCATTGTTCGTTTAATTGAAAATTTTATCAAAGAATTTTATTCTTTGTATATTATAAAAAAAAATCTCATTATTTGTACAATTAATAATAATAATTATCGCGATTACTTTTTTTGTTTAGTTAAATAATTATCAAAAATTCACAATTATTACTTGTACAATTAAAAATTATTATTATTGTAGAAAATAGAATTTATCATTTATCAACATAATTCGAAATCTTAAACTAAAATATATAAGGGTTCATATTTAAAACATTTTTTTTTTTTGCTATATAACGAAAACTATTTCACATTATTATAATTAAAAAGAAACGAGTGCTTTAAATTGAATAAAACGAAATAGATTTTTATTAGAATTTAATAAAGTTTTTTTTTGATATATAGTTAAAAATATTAAAAGAATTTATTCGTGGATCAATTAGTAAAAAATTAAGTTAATATTATAATTTAAGAAATCGATAAAATCGATAAAAGAAGTTGAAGACATCAATATAAAAGAAAGTCATTTAAATCGATGTGAAATTGATAAAATAAAGTACATAAATTTTAAAATCAAGTACTTAAAAACTAAAGTAAATAAAAAATTTAAGTAAATTAAGTGGATCAATTAAGTAAAATAAGTAAATCAATTAACTAAAATAGAGATTCGATTTTCTTTTTCTAATATAAAAAAAAATTTTAATACTATTAAATAAATTCTAAAATGTAATATGAAAAATTATTTCGTATTGTTTAAATTACAGTTAGCGATTTCTTAAATAATTTATTATAAATGGAATGGTAACTATGTAGCTAACTCTAATTGCGCTATTTACATTATAATAATCGAAATAAGTACATATTTCCCTAAAAAAATTAAAAAAAAAAAAAAAAAAAAAAATAGCAATTTTAAGAAATCTTTTTATTGTCCATATCTTTCGTTTTATATTCTATATCAATGTATTATCTAATTTTTACATCGTTCAAAATAATAATTAAAAAAAATTCTCAATATTTAATAATAAAAAAAAAAGTAATTAATAATCATATTGTGAAAAGTATTTTATAATATTTCGGTTCTACTGTTAGGAGGTGAAATTTAAAATGTTTTTAGACATAATAATTTTTTTTTCGCAGCTAAAAACATTTTAAGAGTTGTCAAATTTTTACAAATTTATTGTAAATAAAATGTACAAAGCAGTTAATAAGTTTGTAAGATTTTTAGCAATATTTTAAATTAATGATTTATTATTGAGTATATATATATATATAATAAAATACTTTCAGTCAAATCGAATTGTGTTGATTAATTTTTTTTTAATACAAAATTTGAATATTTGTTTATTAATTATTAAATAAATAAAAACAAAAAAAATGAAATATTTCTAAAATATATATTCAAAATTTTTCTCGAATATGATTTTTTCCCCTGATTTTAAAAGAGGACATTTAAAAAAAAAAAATAATGAAGTTTTGGTGGGAATATATTAACGAGGTGGACAAAAAAAAAAAAAGCATAACAATGAAAAATTTCCAACATCGTTAGAAAATCCCTCCTTCTTTTTTTTTATGTATACGGACACACACACGATTTATATATTGCGCGCGGGTAACGAATAATCTTTTATTTTTCGAATATCCAGAGTTGATTTATGAATTTTTCCTCTCAATAATAACTAATGCCATCGACATATTTCGTTATCAAAGATAGAAGCACACACAACATACAAAGTTTTGCGCGATACTTTGTTACAATTGCGCATGAAAGCCACGCCACCCACATCAAACTCTTTTTACCCAATTCTCTCTCACTCTCTCTCTCTCTTTCTAAACCACCCATTTCTCTCCTTTTCCTGGGCTTGCTCACCCATTTCTCTCTTTTCATTCTCATGCCTCACCTCACTTTTCTCGTCCACTTTTCCAAACCCCCTCTTTTCACCCCTCTTTACCACTTTAAAACCAAGTCACTATTCACAAAAGCATAAAAGTCTCAAAAAAAAGAAAAAAAAAAAAAAACCGAAAGAAAAATAACAAAAACTAAATGCAAACTTGCACTTTTTAATTTTTCTTCATAAAGAATCTACAATCGCATATTTTTTAAATTTATTTTCCCCCACCGTGAGAAAATTTGTTTGAACACAAAAAAACAAGAAAATTAGAAACTATAAAATTTTTTTTTTTTTATATTACGTATTTATTTTTATATTTATTTATGTATTTATAATTAATTTAATTATAACAATTACAATAGAAAAAAACTAAATTTTATTATTATTATTAATTAATTTTTATTAATTAAATATATTTGAAATAAAATTGTTTATAAAATTGCATACATATTAAAATTTTAATTATAACAAATATAAAATAATAAAAAGCAACAAAATAAAAATTATAATTACTATTTTTTATAATAATAATAATAATGTAATTATTATTTTGTTTCGATTTATTATTTTAATTGTTATAATTGACATTTAAATTTATGATTGTACATTTATAAACAATTATTTTTATTTCAAATTATTAATTAATAAATAATAATAATAATAAAAAAAATATTTTGTAATAAATAATTATTATTATTATTAATTAAATAGAATTATAAATACAATTGTTTAAAAAAAAAATTTGTTAATTATTGTTTCTCTGTAGAGGAAGTATTTTTAAAATTTAATATTCTTTTAGAAATTTTTATTAAAAAAAAAAAAAAAAATTATATTCACTAATGGCAGGAGAAAATAATTCTTAATTTTTGCTATAAATTACAACGAATCTCTCTCGTTTTGTTATATAGAATAGCAATTTTCTCGGATTTTAAAGTTAAAGTTATTTTCCAAGCTCTGTCGACTTTCTGGGAAAAACCTTTCAAGGATTTAGGGTCAAAGAGAAATAGGTGACATTTCATTTTGGCATCTGGCTCACGTATATTTCGAATCATGATTTGGGGGCCAAATCGAAAAGTCACTTGCACAACTTCGATTCTAAATGTCTTGTTTATTTTCAAATATTGTAATTTTTTTATAGTGAACAAAAAAAAAAAAAAAAGAAAATTTCTTACTAAATATTAAAAATTACTAAATAATAATAAAATTTTAACAAATGACTCTTAATAAAATTATAAACCTTTTTTTTTATTTATATAGTAAATTAATTTTAAAATAAATTTTAATTGATATTTTGGAAAAAAAAAATTTTTAATTTTTTTTTTCACTGTGTGTAGGTATATATTTGAAGAAAAATTGTGTACCGCACCTATATTTACAATTTTATTTTGAGTTAATTTTTAAAGTCTGACACTCACACTGTTAAGCTTTCAAGCTTAAAAGCTTTTGAGCTTTTATGAATTAGATAAGTTTACACCATATGCTTGGGGGTGTATTATACGCACGGACGTAGTAGAGTATGATAAAGTGGAGAAAAAAGAAAATATTTCAGCATAAGAACTGTGTGCTGCATTTTATAAATGGCAGGATTTGTCTGACTTCAGAATAGTTAAAGAAAAAAAAAAAAAAATAGCGTATGTTATTTTTTATTTAAAAAAAAAAATGAGAAAATTTTTATATTCCATAGTGTAAAATTTGTAATACCTTATCAATTTTGCAAACATAATTAATTCTTAAGATATATATATATATTTAAGAAAAATTTTTTATATACTTTCAAAAGAAATGAATATATATATACAAATTTTCTCATATATTGTAAAAGAGTAATTTAATGAAAAAAAGCTCGGTCATTAAAAAGCGCGTATGAAAATTTTTTAATGAAACTACGATCATTTTTAATGAGCGCACAAATCTTTAAAATGCCTTTGACTTGAGGGAATTTAAAGGGTGTCTAGATTTCTTTACTTTTCAAAGTATTTTTTTTCCATATTATAGTAAAATTTAGGTAATATTTTTTTTCATTATTATTTATTATTAATTTTTTATTATTAATTATTTTTTATCTATATTAAATTTATTAATTTTTTTAATAATTAAAGTTAAGATATACATATAGATTGTCATTTTCAAATTAATTACAAAACATTGCGCACATGTATAAATGTTAAATCAAAATAATTTAAACTTGAGTGCAGATTTCCGGGTTTACTGATTACTTTACGTCTATTTTATTATGCAAAAGGATATATATTTGAAATTCAGTTCTCATATATTATATATATATAAACTTTCCAAAATCAATAATTTATCTATATAAATCTAAAATTTAGTTTTAAATCAAAAAAATTTAATAATAAATAATATTTCTAAATGAAAATAAAACTTTTTGATTTTATTATATAGCAAAATTTATTACACTGAAAAAAAATTTATTTCATTCAAATAATTACTTAACTATTTATCAAATAAATATTTCCTGCTTGAACCAAATAATTTTTATTTGAGTCTGTCTGTTGTTTCAAGTAGAGAAATAATTTTTTATTTGAATCAATTAAATATTTATTTGACAATCATCATTGATAACAATTTTTTTTCAGTGGATATATTTTAGAATCAATTTAAAAAAATTTAACGAATATAAATTATTATAAATTACAATATAATATTTAAAGAATAATAAATTATTTTAGCTTTATGAAAAATAATGTTCAACAATTAAACTAAGAGCATTTATTTTAGTGCAAGTTTTCCAACATTGAAAAAGTTCATTAATAATAAAAAGAGGCCGAGAGAAATGAAAATCTTCTTATATATATGTGCTCGCCTATACAATTCGTTAATTAAAAATAGAATACTTAGAAAGCTTTGTACTGCGTAGAAATGTTGAATATTAAAAAAGCTCCCCCGGATACAAACGAGACAAAAGGAGTTAACACAAGAAAGGTTAAAATTCGCGAATGTCACCTTTTCCTAAGACCATGCATTATTTATTCTCCTGTGAAATTTAAAATAGAACGAACTTGGAAACATAAAGTTTATATATATATACATACACCAAAAGACATTGAAGAAGTAGAAAAAGTTTTTTTTTATTTTCCCTATGCAATTGGTAACAAAAAAGTAGTTTACTAAAAAAAAACTATAATAGAAACAAAGGTAGGAGGCGACAAAAAGAGAGAGAGGGGGGGGAGGGGGAAGTTGATTATAGAAGAAAATTTTTGCGATAACTATCTTTCGTCAAAAAAAAAAAAAAAAAAAAAAAAAAAAAAAAAAAAAAAAGAAAATGACGATAAATGGCTCGTCGTTTCTCCTATATGCACAGAAGCGCAGTCTCTTGCAGCTCGCTTCTCGTCTTCTAGAATTCATGAGGCGAAAAGCTGGACCGGGGATGTTGGGTATGGACCATTTGCAGGCAAAGCCAAAGTGAAGCGCTCCGGGACCTTCCGTCGAATACAAATTTTAGATTTTGCATAAGCCAGGAGCGTAGGTATTGCGCGTACGAAAAGGCAAAAGTAATGTGTATGTACTTTGCAATGCCGCAAGAAAGAACCTTTATATATATATACGTAGAAACTAGAAATGATAACGATATTATATAGGTCTTCATATAAAAACAGAACAAGTACAACTTATACCGAAAATTTATTTCTATATTAAATAAATATTTCTTTGTATCAAATAATTCATTTGTATCAAATAAATATTATTATAAATCAATTATAAATCGTATTTGTTTTAAATACAAGAAATTATTGGTTCAAATTTATTTAATTCAAATAAAAATTATTTGATAATTTTGTATAAAGCTAATTTTTTATTGCGCTTAAAAAAAAGAGAATGAGCTTGCTAATCCTTGGCGATAACTAAATAACTTAATTCTGTTACTGTGAAATTTAACAGAAGTTAATATCTTATTTTATGCTCTTAAATTTCGCACGATTTAACAAATTTGTACAGAATTCAACGGCGTAGAAATTAACTGTGTGGAATTTTAAAGACAACGCACCGCTGA